TCAGTAGCCTCATAAAATGGGAGCAGGAAGAACCGACCTGTTAGTGTTGAATATATGGGTTGTGTGAAGCTAGAATACTGGAGGTAATATATTGCTCAAACATTAGAGCCCTAATGCACCACAATTAAACTCAGTGTTGATTTATTGATATTGACAAAGGAATAAACCTCTACCAACTTCATATTGAAAAACATCTTAAATCTTTTCCCATCTCCATATAAGCTTTTCAGAGCTCTGTATTTATCTGCCGCTTGCATCATAGAGCGTATATCTCGCCTTACTGCAACATACTGTCTCATTCTGACTTTTCAGTGTGTGATCTTGTGAATTGTGACCTGCCTGAAGTGCCCCGCTGTGAGGATGGTCAGACTGTGGTTCTGAAAAACCCTGGGGAATGTCAGCCTGTACACGAGTGTGGTATGACATTTACACATTCTCTGTGATGTTCGAGCTCTGATTTGCTCTGACACACACACACAAACACACACACACACACACACACACACACACACACACACACACACACACATGAAACAGAGCACACATCGCTGTGATCTCTTTTACACGTTTCTCTTCATCTCTTTTCTCTCTCAGTCTGCAAAAAGGAAGAGTGTGCACTTCAAGCTCCACCCGCTTGTCCCGCACATCGCCAACTGTCAGTGAAAAAGACAAAGTGCTGTGATGTGTTTGAATGTGTGTGCAATTGCCAGAACTCCACCCACACCTGCCCTGCTGGGTTTATCACATCCTCCTCTACCAATGACTGCGGCTGCACAGAAACCAACTGCCTGCCAGACATGGTGTGTTTTTGGATGCATTAGTTTCTTTTCTTTTTTTTAGCTGTAGCTGTTTAAATGATCCCACTTTATTATTGTTTATCTCCTCAGGTGTGTGTGGTTGGTGGCGTGGTTCACCCAGTAGGGAGTGAATGGGAGGAAGGGTGCGAGAAATGCAGTTGCACCCAGCTACAGGACATAAACACATCGCTACACATTGCTCAGTGTACCCCACCTGTGTGTGATAGAACCTGCCCTCAGGTAAGACGCACACACACATACACCATAATACATCTTTGCATTATGCTCCTATAACCATTAATTCATATATGTTTATTTTATTTCAGGGCTCCATGTACACTCCATCAAAAGGAGAGTGCTGTGGGAAGTGCACACCAACCAGCTGTGTAGAGTCAGAGGGAGAGATGCGAGGGGACACACTAATAGGGGGAAGCTTTAGACATGTACGTGTGTAGAGAAACCATAAATGCCTAAACCACACTGATTTGGCACAAGCTTTCCCTATTTGTTGATTTTAATCACTTCTCTGTGTCTGTTTATAGGTGGGAGAGGTATGGCAGTCTCCACATGATAAATGTGTGTTGCATCAGTGTGTGAAAGTGAGAGAAGAGGTGTTCATCTCACCAACAAACGTCAGCTGCTCCGTTATGGACGCTCCATCCTGTCCGCTGGGAACCGAGTTACGCTGCGACACCCAGGATTGCTGCCCCCGCTGCCACTGCGGTAAACACACAAATGCGTACTGTATACAATTACACACATAGAAAAATATAGGCAGAAAACACACAAATGTTCATCCACTCACTGTTTATATACCAAGTTGCAGTTGCGGTGCCTGTCCAGCAGATGACTCTCTCATATTGGTGTCATTCCAGAGCCATGGATTGGATGACACCAATCTGAGAGAGTCATCTGCTGGACCTGACCTTACAAACCCCAGGATTTAATGCACTGTTTAATGAATGGCAATACAATTATTTCTATCTTTTCTCCCTGCAGCCCCTATGGATGCCTGTGTCCTCAACCACACTGTGATAGGGGTAAGTCATGCACAAAAGCAGCCTTCATCTTTCATATTCAAACATTTTAAATGCTTTAAGTGCTCCATCTTGATCTGTATGTGTTTGTACAGGCAGGAGAGAGGCTGATGGTGGATGTGTGTACACACTGTGAGTGTATGGTAGAGGAAGGTGCCGTGAAGAAACACAAACTGTCCTGCAGGAGAATCAGCTGTCCCACTTGTCCCTTGGTAACCATAATCCCATTATTATGTTTTACTATCCCTGTTATCATTTGTCATCTTCATCCTGACTAACTAATAAATTCAAACGTCATTTTCATCAAAGATTCTCTAATCCACTGACCACATTCCCTCCCTGCTTATCATTAAATTGCGGCCTCATCGTTTTCCGTGATTGGCTTTATTCACAGAGGTAAATAGTGAATTGTTTATCCAAGCAAATTTATGTCTTTGTATTTAGAGTAATATCCTGAGGATGTCTTCCTATATGAACTAACATGCAGTATTAACCACAATGTTTTCAGGGATACACATTGCAGAAGGAGGAGGATGCTTGCTGTGGTCGATGTGTTCCCACTGCCTGCTTCATGCAAAGGCCAGATGGAAAAATGTTGAGTCTGCAGGTAGGTAATTTTACAGCAGAGAAAATGCCTTTCTTATGAACCCTGTCGAACACACAGAGCATGCAGACATACTGTAGCACTCATTTACTATTGCAAGAAAAATGTTTAATGATGTTAATGTTTATATATTTTATACACTTTTTACAGCTTGTTTTAGCATGATATATTACTAGCATGCGAAATCTATGCTACTATACTATACTATATTATACCATGTCATGTTATGATATTCTATTCTATACACACTAAACTATACTATACAATACTGTACTACACTGCATTACTCTATACTACACTATACATTGCAATGCCACACTACACTATGCTGTACTTATTCCTTGAATCAATAGTTACCAAAATAAAAAATAAACATGGTTTAATAAAGTTTGTCTATAAATGTAATATTTTGTCATTTGTTTGCTGTAGTACCTTTTGAAATAACAGCATTTTAGCTGCAGAAGTAAATACTGTCTGTACGTGTGTGTGTCTCTCCCTCCAGGTGAATACGACCAGCGAGGACGGTTGCAACTTTTATACCTGTGGTGTAAACGATAAAGGGGATCTTGTCCTGCAGACCAAAGTGACCACCTGCCCTCCTTTTAACCGTCAAGCTTGCCTGGACCAGGGGGTACGACAACCACACTAACTGCCGCATCGCCACACCTACACCTCAGTATCTGCCATAAAGTTGTATTAAATCTTTCTCTCCTGTTTGTTTTCAGGGAAAAGTCAGCCAGATTGGAACAACCTGCTGTGAGCTGTGTAAGTAGAGCTGTGCCCTCTGCAAGACAGGTGCACTGTTTTGAAAAATCTGGACACTCTGATTTTAATAAGAGTGTGTGCATGTGTGCAGGTACGGAGCCAGAGTGTCGGAGGACAGTGGGAACGCTTAACTACATCAAAGTGGATGATTGCCAATCAGAGCACCAGATAGAACTGCGCTACTGTGAGGTAAGAGACTACACGCACACACACACACACACACACACACACACACACACACATTTAAGGATGATTAATACTGTTTTCCCCCTAGGATTAGCCTACAAAGTTCAATGAAATCGTAACACTTTCCATCGCCATCCCACCCTTTTCTCTCTCTCCCTGTGGCACTGTCCATCTGTCCATTTGTCCATCTGTTTGTCCATCAGGGCAAATGTCGCAGTAAATCCATGTACTCCCTGGAGAGGGCCGCTGTGGAGCAGGAGTGTGTGTGTTGTGCTGCTGTGGAGACGGAGCCTCTCAGCGTTCCCATCCTGTGTGCCAACGGCACTCGTAGCCACCACACTGTCCTGTCTGTTACTGCATGTGACTGTCTGTCTAAACACTGCACCTAGAGAGAGAGAGAGAGAGAGAGAGAGAGAGAGAGGGTTATAAATGGTGTGTATCCAACTAAAATGTACTCATATGAAAAATAACATAAATGGCTGTATTTAATGCATTTACATATACAACATAACAACAGAAATATCAATAAAACAAACCTTTCAGTTTCTGCAAGCACAACCTTTTTGTCTGTGTTTTTTTGTATCTGAATATTTCTATAACATTTTATGGGTTTGTAGAGATTGTAGAGTTTGTTTTTTAGATGTCTGAATAGTTAAGAAGTGATAACAGATTTTCTGAATTCCTTTTTCATCTGGGTTCTTCTGACATTACCTAATTGAGTTGATCAATATTAAATAAATATATCACATATTAATCAAGTTAGTATAAAAATACCAGTGATGGAACATAGCTAACATTTTCTCAAGCTTCAGTATAACTTTGAGGTACTTGTAGAGTGCCTTGGTAGCTGAATTTTACACATAACTACAACGTCACTGGTTTAATACCAGGGATCGACCTTTGTCACATGTTGTTCCCCCTTTTCTCTCCAACAGTTTCCTGTCTGCCTCTTCACTCTCAATCTGTCCAATAAAGCCAAAAAGGCCAAAAACAAATGCTAAGGTACTTGTGTTTTCATGTCATTCTATTTTATACTTCCAATCAACACAACTTCAGTATGTTTGACTGAACTAGATTCATTTGACAGCTTTAATCTAATGTAATGTAATGTACAATATATAATGTGTGTGTAGATAGCTAGGTAGGTAGGTAGATAAAACATAGATACTTTATATTATATTGATTATTATTATATGATATTTTCAATGCAATGGAGTATTTTTATATTGCAGTTTTGTTACTTCTGGATCTGAATACTTCCTCCATCAGTGAAAAATGCTTAACATTTGGTGGTTGCAGCTGCACAAAAAAAAAGAGGTAGATAATATAATAATAAACTGCTTTTCTTCATTTCAGATCATTGTATTTGAATAATTTGGTTAATAATAATAAATAATGTGTACATTAATCAAATAAAATGTTAAAAAAGGCTTATTTTTGCACTGGTTTATTTATTTACTGCACGCCCGCAGAGGGTAGGCGAGGTGTACTTTCAAATCTGGTCACCAGTAAGCTCTTTCTTCCCTCCCTGGCCACACACACACACACACACACACACACACACACACACACACACACACACACACACACCTCGCATCGGTAATATGCTTCACACCTTCGTTCCCTCCCATATGAAACGGTCAGGGAATTAGCCGCCCTGTGCGCGCGCGTGTTAAGCCAGGGGTTCCGGGAGCGCGCGCGGATTGTCCACCATCTCAGCCCCTCGCCAGGCTGTGCACCTCGCGCGTCTTGTCATCCATCTCCATAGCGAAGAACTGATCCTCCACGAGCACTGGTGAGTCCACTTTTTCACTCTACTTTCATCTGAAGTGTGATTTTTTTTTAAAAAAGTGAGTATTTGACCTTTATCACTTTTACCGTCTCATTTATATTCCCCGCTGGATTTCACGGCGTCTTTATGCACTTTTGACCTCTTTCATTTGAACTATATAGCTGCTTTGTGTGTTCAATGCTCCATTAGCTAAGCTTGACCTGAACCCCTGCTTTTATTATTGTTTAAATCCCCCTCGGTGGCGGCAGTGGCGCGAGGGTGCTGAGGCAGTTTTTTCCATCCGACCATCTGGGTGCACACAACTGTTGCGCCCGTGAGCGTTTAATTAAACACATATTTGTCGAATAAGCAGCTCGTGACAACTGCCCGGGGATTAATTAGTCAAAATGGAAATGAATTATTTTGATGTAGTCTGTGCCGTTGGTGTTTTTTTGTTTGTTTGTTTGTTTTTTTTTTTTGTCTTGAACTGGCTCTGTAAAATGAAGGTTTGCTGGTTGAAGTGAAAGTTTTGCTGCAATATTCATCACAGAATTTCCAAACTAAAGTCTTGTCTGGGTTTGTGTTGTATGTTTCTTGTCATGACTTTAGAAAGGAACAAGCATCTGTTAAAATTAGCGATGTGTAATCTGTGGTATTCCAGGAGCAACAGTATTAGAGAGCTCCCCTGTTGCCCTCTGCCCCGTTAATGTTACCGTAAGGATGCAGCTGACCCTCTTGCCTCTGCGGTTGAGCTGTCAGCAGGCTTACAGGCCTTTAAGCCCCGGGCTGAGACTCACGCTTGGACGCATTTGCGCACTCCCTCTCTGGACAGGAAAAACAATCGATACAAATAGAAACAAAAATATATACGGGAGTAGCAACACCTTGGCAAGAAACCAAATAAACACCAAACACAACAAGATAATATAATACAGTTTGAACTGTGTTACCGTAGACTAATATAGGACCCCCCCCCCATTCTGCACATCTATGCGCAAAGAAGCACTTTTAGCAGAAATATGCTCAAATCTCAAAACTCCTGTTTATAATATAAAATAGGTGTTTTCTTTAAACATATAATGCATATAATGACCACAATGCAGAATGTTTTGTTATGTAAAACGTTTCTGCTAAAAGTTGGCTGCTGATTTGATTTTCCTCCTGTATTTAAATTTAAATTTTAAAAGTTCTACTCTTCAGGCTACAAAGAGTAGCCTACAGAAAATATTTAGCCAAGATGCATTAACAGGTATGCATTTCCAAAATTAAAATAAAGACAATAAACCAAACACATGAACAAGAGAGCTATGTTATTGGGAGCTGCAAGAATATCAGCCATAGGGTAAAAGGTATTGTGACTAATAAGCGAAGTGATTACTGCACAACCATGGAGCATGTGGCTAACAGCATATAAGATAAACAAACTCACAGCAACAGAATCACTGGGCATTACATTTATAGATATAACTTTAAAACACATGTATAATCCTGTCATCTTGGGACCCAAGCTACATCTAAGCGAATACAAGAGAGATTTTTTGTTCTTTTTTGTGAAATATTTGACACTTTTACTTCTCCAGGCCTTTAAAAATCTAAAAATCTGATAAGGAAATATCAATCTGTTCTTTTTTGTGAAATATTTGACACTTTTACTTCTCCAGGCCTTTAAAAATCTAAAAATCTGATAAGGAAATATCAATCTTTGCTTGAATTGGTCACAATTTATGTCCACAACATGAGTCCATAACATGTAATCATGAATCGCAAGGAGACTTCACTTCGTTTTAAGAGGGTCATGGGCCAAAAAGTTTGGGAACCACTGATCTAAATATCACTGCTGGATAAATAATTGATATAAAATCGTTTTGACCTGCTGAACTCAAAGTGACATATTCTCCATTTCGTGCATCTCAGCTCTGTGTTTGCTAACACATGGTAAACAGGGATTACTGTGGATGTGTGTGCATTTTTGTAAGGGGATTGACTGTTTAAGCCCTCTGTATGTGTTATGTGTACATTGTTCTGTTGGCTGTTGGTGTTGTTTACATGTCTCATGGCGATCCCCATCGTCTCAGGCAGCCAGTACATGCAGTGTGAAAATGTCGTCGGAGCACAGCTGCATACAATCACGTCTCTCTTTCACCTGCAATAACACATAATGATGGAGGACTCTGTGTGGCACCTATACTTAGAGGTTAGCTTAGCTTATTGTCACTGTTTACTGTTTAATCAACTCCTAACAGAGAGACCTTCGAAAGGTCTGCAACCATGCAATGAAAAGCAAAGAGTCTCTAAGTAAAATGTTTTTTAAATTAAGTATGTTTTGTAAATCAAAGATGGCAATATAAATTTCCACTACTCTTTATAAGTGAAATAATTGAATTTCTAAGGGCATTAAAAATCAGTCACAGATGAGAGGAATATAGTAACAACATCAGTCTCACTGATAGCACCACAGACAACCTGTGACAAACATGAGATGACCACAACATGTGAGAAAGACCTTTTTATTTAATGTCACACGGCAAAAGGGGAACTGACACAGCCTTTGAACATAGTGCACATACATAACCAGGCTCACTGCAATTAATTTAAAATGATAAAAAAAATATATATATGCATACTCTTACCAGCATTGTTATTTCTGAGCTTGAGAAACTGCACATTTCTGGAAGATTAGCTGTGTGATTTTGTGCACTTAAACAATTTAAATAATGCTTCATATTTTATGTCTATTGATTCAAGCCTGGGGATACACATGTGCTTCTAGTAGTGTGGGACTTAACTACTCAGTTGTCTCTTAACACTTCATTCTTTAGCTCCAAAGAATGAGCCCAGTGACCAAATTACCCCAACAGATTGTAAACTGTGCCGCTTGGATTGCAGTGTGAGCTTAATCTGAGCCTACGGCTTCATTTGGGTAAAAACAGAGATGAGACAGCTTAACTTTGGCTTACAGTTGATTTGCCAGTCTAAAACGGCTACTGTGTGATTTTTACACACAATATTTGAAAGTAAAATCAACCTGAAGTGGATCTACAATGAATATCGCTAGTTTGACATATCTAAGCAATAAATAACTTCCACAGGGAATTATCAACTCAGAAAACCTGCTCTTTCAGGTATGGTAATATAAATACCAACAGCTTTTTATAGGCTGAAATAATGATTCCTAACCTGGGGGTCAGGACCCCTTTGAGGGCTTGCAAGATAATTTAGAGGGTTCTCCAGATGTTAAAACAAATGGAAGCACAATTCTGCCAAAAATGCAGTTCTTTCTATTATTATGTCAGAATTTCTTACGAGATAAGCAAACAAAAAACGTTTGTTGCTTAATGATTTATTATGCAGAAATAATTACACACAATTTTATGAGGTAGTATCTCTTCATTAGCTAATATATCCTAACTATGAGATATCAGATATGAGTTGATAAGTCATAATAATGAGGAAAAACAGTTATTTATAAAAATTTGGTGGATTATTATTTTATTAAGTAGCATTAATGGGCTTCCATAGTAACAGGAAATTCTGTTACACACAATTATTTTTTACTTTTTTAGACTTTGCTCTACTGTTTGCTTTTTTTTCTTGTGAATTATTGGATAATTTTTTTTTGTTTTCAGGCCAATAAAAATTACTCTTATCAAACAAGAAAGTAATTGACTCTGTTAGACACACACCCAGCAACAACCAGCAGCACTTATGATCCTACTTGGATGAATGGCTCAACCATTAATGAAACAATTACAGCCAGAGCTGTCAGGTCTCTGAATACTAAACTCCTGTTTTTCTTCTCATGTGCCAACAGAGGGATGAAACGGAAAAGAACGTATGCCTGTCACCACAGAAATGAGTGAGTCGTCGTCCATTCACTCGGTGAAGCTTGTTTCATTGGCCCGATCGCTGTCCGGGCTTGGGCTTGATGCCGCCAATGGATGCCCTATCAACCTACCTGACAATGACGAACCCCCTCCTCGGGTATGGTCTCTTCTCAATGTTAACACTCACATCCTGTAGCTTTAACAACCTGCAACAGTATATGTCAGCTCTCTCCCAGCTCAGGTTTTCCCTCCCTGAGCTGACACACATGGAGCTTTGCCTAATTGGCATGCCCTTACACTGTATTACTCCCTGAATTCCCTCACTTGAAACCCTCATGACTTACCTCATTAATTACCTGTGTGTGTGCTTTTGTGTGTTTGTGTAGGAGTCCGGCATCGATCTAGGCCCTGGGCTTTTTTTCGCTGATGGCAAGAGAAAAGTGGACTACGTCCTTTGCTACAAATACAAAAAAAGGCGGGGATCCAAGCCACGCCTTTCCATTACATCCAATGGGAGTATACCATTACAGATACACGGCCGATGGGAAGAAGCAGAGTCTGGGGAGGCAGGTGCACCTGCAGGGGATGTGGAGGAGTCAAAGCTGTCTGAGGAGGAAAAGGCTTTGATGAGGGAGGAGTTTGAAGCAGGTCTACTGGAAGCTGGACTACAGATTGAGCGTGAAAAAGAGGTATGTATCTGCTTCTACCGTGCTTTCACCGTGATTATTTTTTCATCTGTTGTGAACTCCAATAGACATTTATGGGTTAGAGCCGCCCTTAAGTAATGTGACCACAAATCCTGTGATTGGACGGCTGCCAAACAGGTTGAGGATAAGACTCAGCCTGTCCCTTGAAGTTGGAGGACAAACCTGCTTTCTAATTAAAGAGATAACTTATTAATATCAGTGGTATATTAGAGGTTAATATAGTAATAATAAACACAGCAATAACAATAGGAAGAATGCAAGTCTGCATGTTTTTTTGTCTTGTACTGTACAGTATGTGCTAGTGTGTGTGTGCTTGTTTTTCTTTCAGTCTATATGTGTGTATGTGTGCACATGCATGTTTGTGTCTGTGTGGCTGTGTGACGCTTGTGTGTTAAATCAGCTGCTGTTTTGGTTGAGGATTAAGACCGATGACCGTAATTGTGAAGCCAAATGCCAGGTTATAGGGCCTTGTTAGAGAGTGATCTACTACTTGGAAGTGTGCGTGCTGGCACATTAATGTATATGAGCGGCGATTGGTGGGTTTAATTTACCTTGAATGGGTAGAAGGGGAAGTGACTGGTTAAATTGTGACTTCAAATTGTTTGAAGGCGTAAATGTGAGTGTGAATGGTTGTTTTTCTGTGTGTGTGATGAACTGGTGACCTGTCCAGGGTGTACCCAGCCTCTCGCCCAATGTCAGCGGGGATTGGCTCCAGCCCCCCGCGACTCTGCAAAGGATAAGCTGTTACAGATAATGGATGGATTTGTAGAAGGGGGTGCTCAGTGGTCACTGCGTATTGTATTAGAGTGTGTCTCTGTATGTGCAACTGAACAGTTGTGTTGTTTGTGTAGGCGACAGCATGAGGGAGTTTACCCTCCATGAATTTGATTTTGTACAATATCACATTGCAACTGTCAGTTTTAGAAAATATATAAATTGTTTTCATTAATATTTTCCTTAATTTTAACATGAACATTTCTGGTCAGTCTGGCAAAGAGGCTGTGACAGATTTTAATGCCACCATCTCAAAATTGCTGCTAACACACCCCATTAGAGGTGTAGCAGGCGTTGTTTGAGCCCATGCAGTTGTATCTGCCTGGCACTAAGGTCATTACAGTAATTACATGGACAGCTTTTCAGTGATCCAGAAGCAAAGTAATAGCTTGTCACGTGATCAGAATTGATAATTGGCTACAGTTTTCAATGACCTCTCCCAATAGGTAATCATTTTCTGGACCCATTTCCTTTAGTTTGGAGGATTGGGAGGTTCTGGGCTTGAAATAATGGGATTCCCTACAAAACAGACTCATTATAACACAAAGTAGCATACTTACAGGTTTAGAGAAGGCTCATCTGGCTGCCTCGGGACAAGTGGCAGTGACAAGTAATTAAATGCAAGGACAAAGAGAGTGAGGAAGACAGTTACACAGTTAATCTATCCATAAAGGACATATTTTTCTAGTTGTATTCCCCAGTTGTTATGAAGTTATGCATGTAGTATTTTTTTATGTTTAAATCTTCCTATTAATCTGTGTGTTAATGTGTGTGTTTATGTACAGAGGGCAAACGGCCTAGGGTTTATTCGGCTGCACATCCCATGGTCAATACTCAGTCGAGAAGCAGAGCTTCAGAAGATCAAAGTTGCTGTGAAAAAGGTCAGCAATTTGACGCAGTCATTTACACACCTTTGTCTTCTTCATTTGAATATTACAGTGTGTACTACATTTTTTATTTTTTAAGTTTAATTTGGGCACACAATCCCATTTTACGAAAAGGGAGTTTTATGTCAGAAAGCTGTGGAATCTGACATGAATACTGACAGATATGTGTAGTGTGGTATATATAGCATAGTGTGGCAGAGTAGATTTGATCAAACTGTTTTCCATGTGTGTTTTCATTGAGCAGAAGTGTGAATTGCGGAAACGGATGGGTATTGCTGGGATCTGGGATTCTGTTGTGGCCAAAGTCAACACACCATTTCAACCAGACGTCGCTGACTTTGACATCCACAAAGACTCACAGACACATGTCCATTTCAAAACCCTCAAACATCCATTTATCAGAGACAAGCTCCACTTGTGAGTACCTGGACTGTAACACATAAACATAGAAAAAAACTAACCCACTTTAGGAGTTGCCCTTGGCTGGGGACATGCATGTCTTTTAGTTCTGTCATGGTTAGTGATTTAGATAACACCCTGATATCTAAATCACTTGCTGGCTGTCTGCTTTTACCATCCTTATCATGAGCTCTCACGTAAATTGAATTTCTACTGTTTATAGTACTGAAATATGAACAATCTATGTGCTATTGGGGCAAAGCAAGAGAAAAGATAAGCTTAACAGTAAAAGTAACTTCCTGAGGTTGACTGAATATTGTTGATTTAACAAACAAGAAAAGGTTAAGTTGGCGTTAGTGTGAACAGTGTGACTACTCATTAATCAATAACTTTTATGAACAGGTCTGTTGTTAATAGTAAACTCTCACATTTGGTTTGTGACTGCTTCCTATCATTTCCTGCAGGTATGACATCAAGTCAACGGAAACCGTATTTGACAATGCAACACGCAGCAGAATAGTGAGTCCAGAAACACTTAACATTTAATTGTATGTTATGAGGAATATTTTGTATGGTTATTTTTGCATATGTATTTGAGCTCACATACCATTTGGACTATGCTATGTTTGCATTTAGGTGGCGGAGATTATTTCACGCACTACCTGCAGACAAACTTGCCAAACCACTGGTGAGGTCTAACTTTTTGCTGTGGTTTTATTCTCCTTTTTCATACCGTTCATATGCATGCTGTCAGTCAGATTTCATGCTGCCTGTGTCCATATGCCACTGCTCACAAAACTGTGTTACACTTCCTCTTTGTGTCATAAGGCATCAACTCATTATTGGCTCGGGGTGTCTACGACTCTGCCTTCCCTCTGCATGATGTGAGTATAACAGAAATAGCAATTTCCTTGGACAACGTGAAAGTATATTTGCTTAAAAATTGTATTTATGTTTGAATTAAATTAGTTATACGAAACTGTTTAATATATTATTTCTTACTGCATATAGTGTATATATTTTCATTATAGTCTTTATATTTTCTATTATATCTTATATCTATTATATCATTATGTTTTCCATGATATATCTTATTCTTTTACTATATCTCTTTTATATTATGTATATTATGAAAAATGCTACATAACGTACATAAAGGACTTTGTTTTATCATATAGGACAGGTTTGTCAATATTTTTGCAGTATTGATATTTGTGGCAATACATGGGAAAGAATATAATTTTACTTAAATAGAATGGAAACTTTTTTTGGTTTTCTTTAGGGGTCGTTCACAAGGAGAGGAGGGAGAGATCAGCGTAATGACAGACAGGTGAGTTGAGTGGCCTCTAGGGAGATGTTGAATTTTCATTTGTGTATAATCACCTGAATATAAGAATGGTTGTGTTTTTGTTACCTTAGAATGAGCAATTATCTACAAATAGAAAGGGCCTTTTCAATGTTTTTCACGAGTTTCCCGGCCACCATAGTTTCTCCTACACACTTTACAGCCTGTTCTCTTTCCCAGGTTGTCAAATACAGACACAAGCAGTGTTTAGTTATTTGCAGATTGAAGTTGCAATCCTACACACTGGTCCTTTAAGGCAGGAACAGATGTCATTTTTAAAAGCCTGATTTGACAGCTGATGATGAGCTTGTGGTGGTTCAGGATTCAAATCTCTCGCATCTCAATTGAGTCTCAGACCTGACACAAATAAGCCCTACATGTTAGATTTTTTGACAACCAGAAACTAAACAAATCTGAATGTGACTTATTTACTTAATGCAGTTTGTTAGTCTGAGTACTCCATTAGTTACTACAGTATATGAACAATCCAAAGCTATGTTGTATGATATGAAATCATTAGGTTCACACCACGTTTTTATTTTAAACTTTGTATCCTGTTTATATTTAATTATTATTACACATAATTAACTAACTTTTTACTCTTGTGGCATGTGCTCGGATGTCCTTCAGCTCCTCCATGAAGAATGGGCTAACTATGGAGTCATGCATAAATACCAGCCTGTGGACTTGATCAGGTACTGAGTAGTTAGTGCAAACAAAAATAAATGTCTAGCTGTAGCTATCGCTTGAGACTGCAATGTTCATTATAGATAATACCAAAGTGTTGGATTGAACAAATATACTGATGATTTTGCTGTTCATAGAGACATAGAGACTAATAGAGACTGGTTTTCTTTTTTTGACTGGATGGTGGCACTAGACTTCACAGGGACAATATGACCTGCAGCTGGGATGATACTGTTTACTACTCTGGACCACAGTTTGACCAATCAGTCAACTGACCGTCTGACATTGCTGTCCTCAGGCCCTGTGGCTGGTGGTTGATACATTGTCTTTATTTTAACAGGAAGTACTTTGGAGAGCAGATTGGGTTGTATTTTGCCTGGCTGGGTGTTTATACTCAGCTCCTCATCCCCCCCTCTGTGCTGGGCATCATTGTCTTCCTGTACGGCATACTCACTGTGGATGCCAATGTGCCAAGGTAAGCAGATACAAACTTAAATATGCATGATTATCAAAACTACATTATATCATCACCATACATGTGTTTATATTATTTTGCACATGTATATTTCAGCCAGGAGACATGTGATGACAATCTGAACATCACCATGTGTCCACTGTGTGATGGAGTGTGTGACTACTGGCGTCTGAGTACGGTGTGCTCACTGGCCCGAACATCATACCTGTTTGACAATGGAGCCACTGTCCTCTTTGCTATTTTCATGTCTCTGTGGGGTAACTATACATTCAAATATACTTTACTCATCAGTTGTATCACTGTTACAGCATCTAGATTTAAATGAACTGAATCAAGACAGGCAACTTGCTTTTATGTGAGGAAGACAGCAGAAGGAAAAATGTCTGAAATCACTGCAGTGGTAACAATCATGCATAAAATCCACATAGCAATTTTATATGCAAGTCCTTGAAGTGGAGAACTGTTTGCTGATCTATCTGAGAAGCACAATGAATTTACAGAAACAAGTTAATGCTGCAAGGTTAGTATTCTTCAGTAAAGATGCTTTGGTGGAGGAGTCAGGTGCATGAGAGTATGCATGATTGGAAGTGAATAAATATTAATTTTGCCGCATTAATCCAGACTAGGGATGCTTTATAAATCTGTTGCTCCACATGTACTAAACTCCAGTGTTCTTCATTTTTACTAAAATGTTACTAACTAACTAAAACGTAATGTGTTTTTTTTTTTTTTTTTTATGGAAATGATATTTAACACACTGTATTCCTCCTGTGTATCCTCCTATAGCTGCCTGTTTCCTTGAGCACTGGAAAAGGCGACAGATGTGTCTGAAACATACCTGGGACCTGACGAGCTTGGAGGATGAGGAGGTATTTAAACAGATTCATGACTACTGTATGTGTCTATTTTCGTAACTCTTGTTGGTTAAAATGCCAAGTCACTCAGAGTAAGAGTGTTAACCTCATGGCCCGGGTCAGCCATCAGTTGTGGTTTTGCTTTGCAGATTATCATTAGTCTCAAAACAGTGTCCTCTCAAACGCACACACACACATACTGAACACATATGCCACTCATGTATACATGCATTACCACGACTCTTTACCCTGTAGAGGGCTGTAATGGGATTAGCATGTTCTTAACGCAGTGCACTTGCTGTATAAGATGATGCAGCAGGGTTGTTGAAGCATGAACACCCGCAGCCTAACACAACTCTCTCTCTCTCTCTCTCTCTCTCTCTCTCTCTCTCTCTCTCTCTCTCTCTCTCTCTCTCTATCTGTATCTCTCTTGTTTATTTTTGTCTCTGGTGCCTGAAGGAGAGAGTCCAGGTGAGTTTTATTATTTCTATACTGTTAATTGGTTTGTGGGGCTAATCAGCAGCTTGTTTGCATTTTCTCTTCACTTTGTATTTGAGAACCATATTCTGAGCTTTCCCTGAGAAGACCCTGTTTACTCTTAACTGTGGTGAATAGTCTTCTAATGAGGAAAGAGTAAACCACAACTTTTTATTTGTTTGGAAAGAAAATAAAATAAAAATGAGCCGTCTCTCTTTTAAATTATCCATATTTCTGAGTTTAGATTTAGATGTTATTGTTCCAGTGGGAGATTAGTTGTCATAAGCCAGTACAACACAGAAACATACAGATATACTATACTTCCAAGCAGCATTATGTTGTGAGGCTAAAACCTGTCCCGCTGCAGGCTATAAACACCTAAGAGCTACAGATATGAGGGAGGACCTAAAACTGCAATGTGGTGGAAGAAGTATTCAGATCTTTACTAAAAGTAGTAGTACCTCAGGTTAAATTCACTCTAATACAAATAGTCAAACTCTTACTTATGTAGAAGTACAAAAGTATTAGCAGTAAAATATATTTAAAGTACCAAAAGTAAAAGTACTCATTAGGGAGCAGAATGAGCCCTGTCAGTGCTGTTACTGTGTGAGCAGCATTTTATATTGTAATTGGTCAAAATTAAACTAATCTTTAATCTTGTTTTACTGTTTTAATCTATAACAATTAATGTATAGTCTATAGTATAGTCTATAATGCATAATATTTTATAAACTGAGTATATATTTTAGATGTAAAACCTTGGTCTTCAAAGTAACTAGTAACTAAAATAAGGATCTTATGAAAGTATAATATTTGCCTCTGAAATGTAGTAGAGTAGAAGTATAAAGTAGCATAAAATGGAAATACTCAAGTAAAGAACAAGAACCTCAAAATTATATTTAATTACAGTACTTAACGGCCATCAAAAATGTCAGAGAATATAACGGTGTTGTGTGAATTGTAACCGGTGACTGACTGATTGTTGTCTTGGCAGATGTGATTATTCCTTACTTTGTGATGCTGTCCCATGTGTTTTAACATGTGCATGTGTGTGCTGCAGGAGGAGATGAGGCCTGAATATGAAGAAGCTCTACAGGAGAAAAAAGCCAAAATGAAAGCACAGTCAAAGCAGAAGGTACTGTGTCTGAGTGTGTGTTTTTTTTGCTTTTCAGATACAATTTCGTGACTTGTAACACAAACTGCACACATGCATACATACATACATACATACATACATTCTCACTCCGTGTTTTTTCTCTGTTGCAGTTGACTCAAGCTGGGGATGGTGCAGATGGAGAAACAGACCAGATGCTGGCCTCCCAGGTAGCACTGCACTGCTCTGTGTGATCAGACATTATGTGTACAGAGTTGCTGGGGGGGGGGTTTACAGGGCTGTTACACTGAGGTGATTTAAACTTGCTTCATTGCAACATATAACATATCTCACTACTTCAGTTACACAATACTCCGTCAAGGTAAACAACTGTTGTTATACAAGCAAATATTATGGCATAATATAGTTATTACAGTCTAACTTCGTCTGTTTGAGTTTACGTCGGTGCATAAAGAAGAAACCCCCTTCACCCACAGTGGGTGGTTGAGTCCAAAGCTGCTTACCTGCCTGAGATTAGCTCAGATTACTGATGGAGAGAGAAAGGGGAGGAGGGAGAGGAAGAATGGGAGGGGATTTCTGTCCTTTCAGATGGCAAGCATGCACCTGCCAGACAGAAAACACAATGTGTGTGTGCAGGACATGTGCTCAGCGTTACTGCACACATACTTTGCATGCATTACAGCATATGCTGTTTGTTTTTGTTTGTGTACCCAAATAATATGCATGTCTTTCCTGACAGCGAGAGCCAGAGTCCTTGGACATTGAGGATCACCTGTCAGGTTATCTCATCAATGTGTCCACCTTACTACTACTGGTACTGCATTTCTACCCTGTTTATAGTATCACTTTTTATATTATCACCCTCTGTCTCCTTTTTGATCCTGCTTTTAATCTTATGATGCTTTCTCATCACACAATATTATATGTTTATTGTCATTTATATCAGTATATCAGGCATTTAACAGAAATCAGAAGATTTTTTCCTTCTGTCTTTGTAATATTTGTCAGTTTATCTACATCAGTTCTCTATTTTGTGTACATAATCCCCTCACTGTTTCCCATATTATATCCATTATTTTTTTTACCAATATAGTGTCAACACTAGGGACTCTAAATGAATACTAGCAACAACTTTTATTGTGTCAATCAATACAGATATTTAAATCCATATTCAACAAAAATTTAAAAAAACAGACAGATGAAACAGTAATAAGGAAAAAGATAAAAAATAATTGCTACACAACAAGAAAATAAAGATAAAGATTTATATTTACATGTACCAAATATTATCATTTTTCTACACCAGAGTCTTGTCATCTAACATTTAAATGTTGTGGGCATGTGTGTTGTGTGTGTTCAGATCTTCGTAACCTTCTCTGCGGTGTTTGGAGTGGCCGTTTATCGCATCTGCATGTTAAGTGTGTGGTCCATGAACCCTGATCCAGAAGCCAAGGCCAGCGTGAGAATGACCGTCACCACCACAGGCATCATCCTGAACATGCTGGTCGTTCTGGTGTTAGAAGAGGTCTACGGAGCGATTGCTGTGTGGCTGACTGAATTGGGTATTGTATTGAATGCTGTTACAAATTAAAGCATTAAATAGGGAAGCTTTATGACCAATGTTTTTGCTGAACAACGGAGAGAGAGAGAGAGAGAGAGAGTGGCATAAGTGCAAAACTCTAATACAGGAAACTGCAACAAACCAAATGGAAACTGAAAAGATATGAAATCCATTATTTTAGAACTTTGCAGGATAGATTAAAATTAGATTTTAAATAAAAAACATATTTGTTATATTAACTTTGCTATTGTTTTTGATAGTTCTCTGACAAAAAAAGCTACAGAATAACATGTTCATTGGTCTTTTGCTGCTATCATAGATTCAGACTTTATTATGGTAAATGCACTGCATAGAATCTTTGACTGAGTACTGAGCATTGGTTGAGTTATTGTTGGGCATAGTTTTCTGGCCCCAGGGTCATTGTTTGTACACTGTGTGTTAAGTTCATTTTTAATTTGACTGTATGGATTAAAACACAGATATGATTAAATAAACTGTAACATGTACAACACATGTTAAGGTTACGCTTAGCATAAAAGCCAACTCATTTAGGGAGTGCAAGTTTGGATGAAGGTCACTTACATACCAACATACCATTATGAGCAAGTTTGTCTAACAGTTGTTGTGTCTCCTTTCCAATAGAACTTCCTAAAACAAAAGAAGAGTTTGAAGAGAGGCTCATCTTTAAGTCTTTCTTTCTCAAATCCATGAACGCCTTTGCACCTATTTTCTATGTGGCCTTCTTCAAGGGCAGGTGTGTGTCTTTTATAAAGTCTTTCTTGGCTCATTTCCCACCATTGTCTGCTTTATCATGTGACCTGGTCCTCTCCTCATACAGGTTTGCTGGGCGGCCTGGTGATTATGTTTACGTCTTTGGAGACTATCGCATGGAGGAGGTAGGTCCAGTGACACACATTAGTAGTCATTGTTTATGTGTATTTATATGTACAGGAAACATGCATCTGTGTCTTTTTTTGTTTACACAGTGTGCTCCACCAGGCTGCCTCATTGAACTGTGCATCCAGCTCAGCATGATCATGCTCGGCAAGCAGCTCATCCAAAACAATGTGTTTGAGGTTCTCATACCGTAAGTATATACCATATATATATATATATATATATATATATATATATTTCACTTCTACAAACACACATTTCTTGTAAAAATGCTTCACCAAATTTCTAGTGTATGCTAACTCTGCTCTCACTCTGTCCTCTGTTTTTTTTTCAGTAAGCTTAAAAAAATGTACAGAACAATGCAGGAAGAAAAAGGAAAGAAAAGAGCAGCAGCAAATGAGGAGAATGAAGAAGAGATGAGACCAAAGCAGCAGTTTGACAAAGATTTCACCCTTGAACCCTTTGAAGGAGTGAGCCCAGAGTACATGGAAATGAGTGAGTCATCCTTTTATCCACTGAGTCACTCGCTACTGCAATCACACAATGTCGTTTTTTTTAACTGTGTTCCTGCTTGTATTAATATTTACAGTAATCCAGTACGGGTTTGTGTCTCTGTTCGTGGCCTCCTTCCCGCTGGCGCCAGCGTTTGCTCTGCTCAACAACGTCATTGAGATTCGCCTCGATGCTGCAAAATTTGTCACTGAGATCCGACGGCCTGATGCTGTGAGGTGTAAAGACATAGGTACATATGAGAGCATGTTCACTCTGTCAGTCTGTGTGAATGTGAAATAAAGTATACCTGGAACTTTTAATCACTTTCTTTTCCTTTACTCCACTCTTCCCGTCCTTTTTTTGTCTCTTTGTCTTCATGTCTGGCTGTCTGTCTGTCACTTTCCTTTAACAAATACGAACACAATACACATTCAAACTCACACAAACATACACATGGACACTCTTCCCTTTCCCTTTTTGTCTCTTTTCACGCACATGCTATCTCCAGGGATTTGGTACAACATTCTCTGTGGAATCAGCAAGTTCTCTGTCATTACCAATGTAAGTGTGTGTGAGTGAGTGTGTGTCTACTGTGCCCATAACCTTCGACCGCGGGCAGGGAATGTCTTACTTAAGTGATGTGCACAATAGTTTACTTGTACTGTACAGCTCTATGAATTTGCTATTGTTGTGTTTGGAGTGTTTTGTCCTCATCGTGCATTAAAGGTGCCCTGTGGAGTTTTTCTGTAAAAAAACACAATTATAAATTTTAAAATTCAAATTCACCAAAATGTACTGTGTGTATCGTTTAAATCTAGCGTTTTTTTAAATAATTGAAATGAATGAATTTACATCCATGTTTGCTATACTTTTTTACTTGTTACCTGTCCCTGTCAATCAGTAGAATGGCAGGAATGTGTATCAAAACATTGTTCTATAGCACTCTGAACATCTCACAGGGTAACTCTGTGTCTGAGTATGCCTAACATTTCTAGGTACAGTGTTGTGTGGTGATGGCAGTGAGCTGTTTTTTGTTCTTTAAAACTGGTGAATTTATAGTTCAATCAGCATACTGAACTGAAATGAACTGAAATTATAATAGAGTTCAATTACAGAAAGCTATTTTGAAAAACAACAAAACAAATAATCATGGTCCAAATACAGTAACTGGTACATGAAGATGTATCATAATACAGTATTGTGTTTGTCTTCTCAGGCATTTGTAATCTCCTTCACATCGGAGTTTGTACCACGAATGGTTTACCAGTACATGTACAGTGTAAATGGCACCATGAACGGCTACACAGAGCATTCACTGTCCTACTTTAATGTCAGCAACTTCCCACTGGGCACTGCGCCTACCACCACCCTCATCACCGGAGTCTCCATGTGCAGGTCAGTGAGACTCTCTTAACCTTGACCCACCTGGATTTCCCTCTAAATCTTTGAGCCCAGCAGCTTAACTCTTACTTTACCCTGAATCTTGTCTAGAGTTTTCCGAAACTTTAAAATGTGGCATTTAAAGTAGGGATTTTACTGAGGCAAATCTTTCTTTTTAAGAATTACCAAATTTTTATCAGATCGGAAACCATCATTCATGTTTCTCCAGGTTCCTCCTTGCTAATACTCAAATTGTCTGTGTTTTTTACAGGTATAAGGACTACAGAGATCCGCCATGGGACCCAGATCCCTACACCTTCTCTAAACAGTACTGGTCTGTCCTGGCTGCAAAATTGGCCTTTGTAATATTTTTCCAGGTATAAAAATAATATTTACAATTGTGGTTATGTTAATATCGATCTAAAAAGTCATGTCTGACCCCCAAAGATTCTGAAATCCATGAGCACCTTTGCACCCATTAGCATTAAACAATTAGTTTTTTATGTCTCTGTCAATAAGCTATATAGAAAAGGCCTGTCTTTTTCAAAACCTTGCTATACTCATTCTTGACTATTGTTGGTCTTTACTGCTGGCATGTTGAGTCTGAAGCCCCCCTGAAATAGTGTAGTGATAGTGTTTGCAAAGTGTTTTTTTACACACTGAATTTGTGTGTGGATGGGGATTAGTCACTTCTGGAAATGTAAACAAACATGTAAACAACAACAAACAAGACATCTCCTTGTCTATGTCCCTGCAGAACCTTGCGATGTTCCTCAGCATGTTGGTTGCCTGGATGATCCCAGACGTACCACGGTCTCTGCGTGAACAGCTGAAGAAAGAGAACATGATGCTGATGGAGTTTCTGCTGAATCAAGACCAAGAAGCACGTGTCAAATCTCACGCTCCAAAACGCTCCATGCCGTGCTTCCCCGCCAACATAGACATTGTGGTGGAGGCAGCACCGCAAGAAGAGGAGGAGCAGCAAGTGGAGGAGGTGGAGGTGGAGGTAGAAGAAAGGGTTGAGATCAAGCTGGATGAACCCAGAAGGGACAGGGACAGCGATCCAGAGATCGGGAAGTCATTCGAAGAAGTTGAAGAAAATGCGCTGGAAGAGCAAGGAGGTGGAGGAGAAGACGAGGGCGGAGAGGTAGAAGGGGGAGAAAAGGAAAAAGATGAACAAGTGAATGAAGAAGATGGAAAGGGTGATAAGGAGCTAGAGGGAGGAGAAGAAAAAGAGGAAGAAATACAAAGAGAGGAGGAAGAAAAGGAAGCGAAGGCAGACGAGAACTTTACTGTCGATCTGGACTCCTTCATGTCCGAGCTGGGGCTGTTAGGTGAGAAGAGAAAATATAATGTATACTTTCTGTTTTTGGCTTGATCTTCAATATGCATTACATGTTTAATCATTTGATTATTTTTTCTATTTCTTGTCATGTAGATGAAGAACCCTCATCCAGCACAGCTACAGATACAGCGCTTCCCCGCTCAGGCTCCAAACAGGAATACCAGAAAGACCAGGAGCCTCCGTCGCAGCCATCATCTAAAAGAGGCTCATCTCTGAGTCTGAAGAGCTCCAGGGCTGACATTACAGCATCAGATATTGACACTAGGCTCTTCTCACTAATTGCTCCTCCTCCCAGAGAGCCAGGCTCAAGGGCCAAGGCCCGCTGCTCCACCTTGCCTTCCCGCCACAGAGGGACTGAGGCTTGCTACAGCCTGCCACGGCCCAGCCACTCCACCAGCCTCACAAGGTTCCAGCAGGCGGCCACACTTACTCCCCTGGTTCCTCTGGGAACCTCTGGGAAACAATCCTCTTCATTATCAGCCTCATCCAACCCATTCTCTCCCCCACACACACCAGCGTCACCGACCTCTCCTCATCCCACACAGTCCCCATCAGTCCAACAGCCCCAAGCCCCCAGTGAACTATTCATGCTGAAAGGCCCTCCGCCTCAACAGCCTCGCTCCAGGGGCAAAGCCCGGTGCTCCACGCTGCCTGCACGGCAAAGAGCCCCCGGCCCTGAGGAGCCCTCCACCAAGCCTAGCCATTCCACCAGCTTTACGAAGCTGGGGGACTGCATCCCCCCTTCCCCCAGTGAACTGAAGCGTAACGCGCCAGTATGAGGAGAGCTGGAGGGCAAGGGAAAGGGCCAGAGGGTGGCAGAGGGAGGAGGAGGGCTATCCAGATTAGCCTCCCCTGTCTATGACTGGAGCCTCACCCCTCCGTCTGTCCTCCCTATCTGCATACGTAATACCTGGGGTCTGGAGAGAGACCATCCAGATCAACAGAACGTCCTTTTTATCCTCTTAATTTTAACAGAGATGTTTATACTGCTCAGTGGTGTAATGCTGGTCTAGACAAGGGGAGTGCTGGACAATCCAGAGAAAAACTGCTCTGGGACTCTCCCTGCCATGCTCGAGGAAAATATCAATGGACTGAACTCTTTTTTTTTGGTTGTTGTTTTTTGTTGATTTGTTTTTTTCCCCACTGACACAGCTCCGTAGCCACTGCTCCTCTGTTATTTTCAGTCCCACACATGCAGCAGTGCTGCCTTGTAGACCAGAGGAAAATGGAAATATATACAGCACAGCTAGTATCAACAGTTATGCTTGTAGACCTACTGTTTATTTTTAGAGGTTTTGATATATAAAAACATGTAAAATGATAATAAAGAAGGACATATTTTTGATATCTGTTTTTCCTGCTGAACTAAAGGTCATGGGTTGGTTTATGTTGCATTTGTTAACTTTGCTGCATGGGCTTTGATTACAGACAGGAGAGGTGAAAACTGGAAGTATTATATTTATTGCAGTTTATGTTAATTACCCATATTAAGCGTAAATAGGAGGTGACAAATAACAACACATGTCCAGAAGTACTTATTTTCAGATATGGCAAGCTGAACAAACATGAGACGAACAACAACACAACATTTACAGTATGTATGTCACTAGTAAATCCTCACTGGAAGATGGTGACAGTATCAACACTAAGAGGCCCATTGTCTTGTCTCTGCTGCCTCCCTGTGGCGTCCGGTGGAACACCAATAAATTATTCTGTGACCTGTATTTTAATATGGATACTCAGTGACGTGTTGTTTTGCTTTTCTATCACTCTGAAACTTGATATTTGAATGTTCTCCTACAAAAGTATTAAAAAGAAAACTCTTCCACTTGGTCATAAACCAGAAATCAAATCAAATTTTCAACAACAGAAACTGACCAGAGAAGGGAGTTAATTGTAACCAAGGTCACTTGATTCGTATTGATATGTTTTATTATTAACCCAGGCAGCCATTAATGCAGAGTGATGTTTCACTGTGTGAAAGTTCCCTTTTCTCCTCTATCCATAACCTGCACTGGCTCCTCCTCTCCTGCCACACCAATGAATGGGCCCTTTGTGGGGGCTTCCAAGGGAATTCTTGCAGGTGAGGGTACGCCAACAATCGCACGCAGTGATGACTTCTGCAGCTTATACCATTTACAGCTTAAAAATGCTAAATGTTTCAACGGCAATTAGGAGTTTCCAGTGCTGAGGTAATCTTAGGTCTTGCTGCAACTACAAGGGTGTGATCACAAGATTAGACAGTGGGAGGGAAGGATCCCAGTCTCTAACCAGGTGAGCGACCAGACACACAAAAACAACATGCTCACTGGAGCCTCACACACAGTGAGGTACATCATACAGATCAGGGAAAGCACAAGCTCATGAGTCAATATATGTCTTCTTCTTTTAAAACATTTTACGCAGTCTTTGAAGAATGGCTCCACAATAGCCGAAAGAGCGAACATATAGGATCTAATGAGGCTGTTATCTGATGTGGATAAGTGCAGTCCACAAACTGTATGAGTAACAGACTGGCTTCACATAGACAGGTCCCTGGAAAACACTGCGTCTCACAGTGGGCATACTGAAGGTGAGTGTGTGTGTGTGTGTGTGTGTGTGTGTGTATACATGGGCATGTGCATACATTAATGGATGTATCCTGTAACTGACAAAGGACTGAATATAAAAACTTTAAAAGTGAACACTTTAGTCACACACACTCTGTCCACCCTCTGCCTTAGCTTCCCTCTCTTCTGTAGGAACTTGTCAAGACACCAGTGCCTGCAGGTATGTATGTGTTTTCCCATGTTGACATATTGATTTATATTGGGGTTCAAGGACAAACTAATATGAGTTATACTGTATCCTAGTGAATAATTCAACGTATCAGAGCAAATATTTATAATTATTTTTTAACTTTGGTTGGACATTTTAAAAGTTGTTTTCTAACTGCTCAAATAACATGTTTTTATCTACACTGTTATGGGCAGAGTCCACAACTAAAAGGACTTTATCTCTTTGAATTGCTCCTCAACCTTCTTTATCTTTCTTGCCCTTTGATATCTATTGTAGTTCTCCATCTCCCAGTTTCTCACTTTGTTCATGACTGCATGTCCACAGAGCAGTTGTCCTATCAGAGACCAATAGGTGGTCGTGGCAGACAGACAGAAATAAGTCAGAGTTGGGGGTGCTGAGAGAAAGTCAGTCTATGTAATGATGCCATACTAAGTTCTAAATGAGATTACATTAAATAACATTCATGGTTTTTGCATACATTTGAATGGCTAGGATAATTTATAGCATATTTGATGATTGTTAACAACACTTTAAAAATGTTTAAACTTTTTAGTCAATAAAATGGTTTAAAGAAAAACAAGGTAAAACCTCTGTACTGCCTTTTCGATGTACACATGTAAATCTCAGGACAACATTTTTATGAACTAATGGCTTTCATTATGCCAGATTGTATTTCCAGCGCCCATTGTGAACACAACTAAATTAGCACTGTTGATTCAAGACAAAAAAAGTTGTGTGTTTTTGACTGTGAGTCGATGTGGACCAGTGCTCTACAGTGGCTGTTTCAGTCTGCCAGCTTGTGTCCAGTGTTCAGTTTATTCTTTAAAAACTGGTTTGGCTGCCACATAATTGCAGTGAATGTGCACTATTTTGGCCAGCTGACATTGTTTCATTCTATAATTGGAAAAAGAAATAGACACACAAAACTTTGATCTAGTCTCAATTGTATTTTGAGTCTTAAAATCAAAGTTTTATTAAAGGGAAATGAAAACATTCTACCCATGTGGTATGACAACGTTTCATGGGTGAATCCTATGTTTGCCTGCAGCATGTTGCAGACCGTCTCTGAATGGCTGTGGTGGGAGCGTCTGTGGCTGCCAGAAAACGTCTCCTGGTCTGATCTGGAGGACAGTGAAGGTCGTGTCTACGCTAAAGCCTCCCAACTTTACGCTGCTCTGCCCTGCGCCCTCTGCATGCTCCTAGTCAGATACCTGTTTGAGAGGTGAGAACAGACAGTACGGTATGTGAGTGTATGTGTGTCCATGAGTTTAGCAATGCAACCGTCTGGTTTCAGAATACTGGGATTATGTTGCACAAGATGTGAGGAGCAGTGTTATACATTGACCTCCATAGAATCACTTCTGTTGTGTTTAGAAGGAAGAAAGAAAGCCTGTGCTGTGCCAGATCATTATTATTATTGTTATACAGTTGCGATGTTGCTTGTGTGCTGTTGCAGGTATCTGGCCGCACCACTGGCTGATGTTTGGGAAATCAGGGACAGGGTACGACTCACTGCAGCACCCAACCCAGTCCTAGAAAACTACTTCTGCAGCCAAGCACGGGTTCCATCAAAGGTCTGTTAAAAGGGGTATTTCACTAAAAAACGAAGGCGATTTGTTGTTCACATGCAGTCATCTTAGTCAACAGATGGTACATAGCACTTTAGGCACAGGATTTTGTGTGGTATTAACAAGAATTAAAGGACCAGTGTGTAGGATTTAGTAGCATCTAGCAATGAAATCACAAATTGCAACCAACTGAACACCGCTGCAGTCTATATTTGACGACCTGGGAATGAAAATGAGCTGTGAAGTGTGTAGGAGAGACTACGGTGGCAGCCAAAAAACAGCTAGTGTTTGGTTTGTTCTCTGGGCTACTAGAAACATGGCAGTCCGACATGGGGGAATCCATGGAAGGCAACCTACAGCATCTGTAGATAAAAGCAGCAGATTGTTATATTCAGTTGATTATACACTGATGAAAACATATCTATGAATATTAATATTAAAGTATTTCTGATTCTGATTATTATAATACATTTCTAACAATATATCTTCCTATGTGTTACACACTAGACTTTTAAGATATTTTCACATACCTGTATACTGCGTCACTTCACTTTAACTGTTGGTTTTCGTCAAAACAAATGTTTTATCTTGCTGTTTTTTGCTGAAATTAGATGCAGAATAAATTACATGTTCTTTTTGCAATGAGTAAAACTTGATGCTGGTGTTTAACTTGTGTGAGAGCGTGTGCATCCTAGGGTGGAAAGCAACTGGATTGTTTCCCTTCTGTCTCAGGCTGATGTGACGTCTCTGTGTAAGAAGACCAGTTGGCCGGAAAGGAGAGTTCAAGTCTGGTTCAGGAGGAGGAGGAACCAGGAGCGTCCAGGGCTTCGCAAGAGGTTCTGCGAGGCTAGGTGTGTGTGTGTGTGTGTGTGTGTGTGTGTGTGTGTGATTATACACTGATGTGAGAACAATATAAAGTGTAAATATGTGACATTATTCTTGTCTGTCAACAGTTGGAGATGTGTGTTTTATTTTTTTGCATTTGTCTATGGAGTCCTAGCTCTCTATGATGTAAGTAGTTCTGGCCTTTTTCCATGTTTTATCACAGTAACTGTCTCTCGTGTCAGTCAGTTTTATTCCATTGCACAACTTGTTTGCTTTGCTTCTCTTCTTATTTTGACTTTCTCTCTCTACTTCCTTCCATCTGTCTCCCTGTTTGGGTGTACCATTTTCACTGTGTGTGGTATGTGAAACTCATCTTTCTTCCTATCCCATGTCTGATTCAGGGTTTTTCTCACACTCTGGCAGTCGACATTGCAGACAAACATGCATGAGTTTGTGGCCAACGTTTACCCTTGTCTCTTTTTTCAAGGCTTTTTTTTTTCAACACCCCACACACACACTCATCTCCCTCTTTGTTTTTGTTGGCTGTAGAAACCTTGGTTCTATAATCTGAAGGAGGTTTGGGCAGGCTTCCCTAAACAAGTAAGTGCTTTTGCCATTGCTATTAGGATGGCTTGTACAATATGACAGTATGCAATATAATAAACATATTTACCTGTGTCCATGTAGTCCATGCTGCCATCTCAGTACTGGTATTATCTCTTGGAAATGGGCTTCTACTCTTCTCTGCTCCTCAGCCTCACTTTCGATGTTAAACGGAAGGTGAGTGTGCAGATGTGTAAAATAAAAGGGATGTACTACACTCATTAAAAAATTTTGAATAATAAATAAATTGGGGATGTCCACATGTCATATGCATGCATGTTTACCTGTCACGTGTGTCTGACTGTAGGACTTCAAAGAGCAGGTGATTCATCACATAGCCACACTGACTCTTCTGAGTTTCTCCTGGATTTCAAACTACATCCGTATTGGGACGCTTGTGATGGCAGTTCATGACTCCGCCGACATACTGCTCGAGGTCAGCGCTGTTTTTATATCAGTGCATGCGCAAGCTAATCTGCATGATATCCATTGTCATACTGTAGGTCTGGATGTGGTATTAACAGATAATGGTTTTGCATTGTCACAGTTCTGCAGAAACAGACTGGCTTGGAAAAGTCATTTAAGATTTCAAAACTGTCTTTTTACATCTGCAAAGAAAAACATAAAAATAAAAATGTGGCTTAGTAGTTATGTCAGTAGTTTGTAGCAAAGCCAAGATGTCTGGCTTATTGCTAAAATTGCCAAAGGCTGGTCTCAAATCTGATGACAAAACAAGAAAAACTGCTCCCCCCTCTAACCCACATGTATTGCCCTTCCTGCATAAACATGAATTTGAGATTGAACAGTAGTGAACCTGAAGGCAATTGCCTAGCCCCACTGCTAAAATACATTAAAAAAAACTGATTTACAGGTAGCATTTGGGATCACAACTGAGATCTCTAAAGTAGGAGGAGGAGGCAGCTGTTTCAATCTTCAATTTCTGTGATTGTTCATGATATTATGTCAACCTCCTGTATTAGCATAGGAAAAATGTCCTTCTTGTACGGTATTATTACATGATTAAAGCTAAATCTAAATGGCGAACCCGCCTGCAGTGACGTTATGACTATGAACTATCCCTTTTAAACAAAGAGCTGAATCTGATTCCCTATTTTTACCTCACAGGGTGCAAAGGTATTAAACTACGCCAAGTGGCACCGGACTGCTAATGCCATGTTTGTGGTGTTCACATTTCTCTTTATGCTGACAAGACTTGTCATATTTCCATTCTGGTAAGTGTGTGTGAAATGGACAGGTGCAGCACGATGAAGATCTAAGTGTAATGTGTGAAGATATAATGTGATAATAATCTACAGGTTGATCCACTGTACATGGGTTTACCCACTGGAGGAGTTTGCTCCCTTCTTTGGCTACTACTTCTTCAATGTGATGTTGTTGGTGCTGCAGATGCTCCACTTCTACTGGGCTGTTCTCATATCACGAATGCTCTACAAGTGTATCTTCAGCAAGGTCTGTTTTCATGTGTTTCTATTTGCATAGTCATTTACGTGAAGGATAGAAATGTATGAATACTTGGCCAATTCTGCAGGTTATTTAAGCTTGTTAAGTCTTATTACTCACACTCATTTTCTACCTCTTCTCTGTGACTCATCTTTATCCTGCAGCTGGAAGGTGATGACAGGAGCGATGCAGAGGAGGATGACAGTGACTCACCGATGGAAAGAAACCACAAATCCAGTCACATCAATGGCTCTGGAGCCAGAGGCCGGGCCAATGGCCACTAACGCATACACACAGGCGGAAGCAGAGAAAAAGGAAACTGGACAGCAGACACATGGACAGATTCAGTCTGAATCACAGCTGTTAGAATCTAATTGCTTATAAGAAACAGTAAATACTCTGATACACAGAGATTATTATTTAAAGGCACTGTGAAGGATTATACATAAACAGATGTCAGGCTTTGTCGTTTCTGGAGTTCCTCAATTCAGAACCTTTTAATAACTACCTTATTCTTCTCCTAATTAAAAATAGAGGAAGACACCTTCAATATTTTGTTTTTGCATGTTGTATGTTGTTGAGAATAATTATAATCACAGTAAAAATGATGACGTGAGTCACATGTGTGGATATATGTGCTTCTACCAGTGTGTTTGGTCGGGCACATTAATGCAAAACCAAAGCTACGAGGAAATGTTTTTAATGTGATTTTAAAACTGTATGTGTATGTGTACTTTTTTAATACAACATATGTGTGTCAGTATTTTTTCATGATCAGTTATCCTGCTCATGGGAGGAAGCAGGATGAGCAGACATATCAAGAGATCTCATTGGCTCTTAAGCACTGTGCATCAGTGGCTGTACCAGCACGCCCTCTCGCGATAATCAGCGAGAACTGACAGAAGACGAGACGTTGGCCCGTCACCATCAGTTACCATAGAAACCACTACACAAACCATACCTGGGCTACGTTTACCAGGTCAAACACCAAAGGTAGCTTTAAGGTTTTATCTTATCAGTACACAAAAGGCTATCAGTATGTCTTATGTGAAACCTTATCGCTCAAATAGACTCGGAAACTGGTATGAGGACCAGCGCTTGTATGAGGTTTGTTTCAAAATATAGCTCTCAACGTTTAACGTTAGCTAATTTATAGGCCCAGTTACACGTTATATGATACAGTTAGTTAAAATGGTGGGCCTACTTTTTTTTATAGGGCCGTCAAGGTGAAACATAAGTTAATTTGTTTGTACATGCTTATAGCTATTAGATAATGACAAAAAAAAAGCTGGTTAGCTACTGGTTGATACAGAAGGATAATAAACTAACAAGTGAAAATAGTTTTAATGAAAAAGGAGGGTCGAATGCAATATTTATCATACTTAGATTATTAAGGAGTTTAGAGCAAGAAAGATGATTGGCAATGACCTAATAGTGATAATACAATGATATTGTTATTCCCTTTAAAGATCGGCTGAAAAACATCATCTTATTCCCCATTTTCTGACAGTATCATATTCTGTATCTGCTTGTTCCAAGTCTTCACTGAAGATATATGTCTACCCTGAAATATTCAATACCCAAATATCTTTATAGCTGCACAAAAATAGGAACATTTGAGATGACTTGTGCATCATTTAATATCTTCCCCTTTAATAGTGACTTAGTTGGGATCTTTGAAAACGTGTTTGTCAGAATTTAGAATAAAGTCATGTGGGTGTGAGCTGAGGAATTCAAACAGCCTAAGGTTTCAGCAAAGTTTGTCTGCACAGCACGGGTTTGTAATGACTCACCCAGTAACTTGCAAATTGATAGTTACACATGCGTTAAACAGTAACACAAAGACACAGAAACTCTGCATGGGCCATTCAGTAACAAAGAGCAAAATGGCAGATGGCAAAATATTTTCTATATTTTTTTAATGGTTATGCCAAGATAATGGGTTTAGAGCTAGAAAAAAAAAGCCTAACAGTGATGCATTGATATTGTGAAAGTTTTTCTTTGAACTTCTTGAACTCCAGGATGCAAAGAAAGAGTATCTGGAGAAAAAAGAGAGGGGTGAGCTTGCTGGCCAGAAAGTAGACTTCCTCAAACAGCACATTTTGAGACCGGTAAAAATGAGTTTAAGCTGATTAAGAGCACTATTAACAACAAAAATAATATCACAATGATGATGGGGATGTTAACGATCATGATAACGGTGTTTGCTCGTGTGTGTGTGTGTGTGTGTGTAGGTGAATCTCACTGTGACAAATGATGGAAGATTGCACTTTGGGGATGTTGTGATGTTGGTGAACATGGGAGGAGAAAACAGAGAGAGCAGTGCAGTGAGCATTAACACAGACATTAACGGCTTGACGAAGAGTCCTTCGCCTGGCATTCAAGCCCCATGTGGAATCAGTGCAGGAAGAGCTATTCAGGCCTGCACACGCACTGCCTTCATCATTACCAGGTACACACACACAACACCCTTACACAACTACATCAACGTACACCTCAACACATATAGTAACTGTCCCAGATGTACATCTGTAACACTGCTTGTGTGACTACAGTGTAGATGGCAGTCCTGAAGGGTCGACTCTGCATTTTGAGCAAAGTTTTGCCCTGAAAACAACAAGTGGCTTTGCCAGGGGAGTAAGTGGACTAACAAACACACACACACACATATAATTAAGTACTTTATTTAAGACTAACTGCTATGTTACGAGGACACTCCACCGACTTTACACGTGGAGTTCAGTGTGTGTCTCACAAGGCGTTCTACACAGGATACAAAAACAGTTGTGTAATGTCCTCCGTGGCTTTGAGGGGCGTCTAAGAAAATAACCCTGATGATGGGTTATTGTGGAAGGAAGTTATCTCAGTTTGGCTTGGAGAGTTTGATGTTTTAACAGAGAGCTTGTGTTACAAACCGGGGGAGTAAAGTTCAAAAGAGGGTAAATACCCGGCAGGGCAGGTTGCATTTAATTATAATAATATGGACTAAAAGTCAGGAAATCTTCACCTTCTTTGATTTTGGTTCTTTTTTTAGTCTGTCTGAATACCCAGGCATTATGGAAGTGAAATATTAAACTAATGGATTACACCTTTAATATTTAATGCCGTTTCTTCATGGCTGAGATACGTAAATATCATGTCATTATTCATGTTTAATCCAAATTGAATGTGGTCCACTTCGCATTTTGCATATCACTTTGTGTGTTTACATGTTTACTCTTCCTTTCTTTCCTCAGTTATACTTGTCGAGCGACCTGCAAACTTTTCACAAGGTAGATCAAGTCATACCATTAATTATGTATTGAAAAGCATCAAGGAGAATGCATTATACTGAAAAACAACCAGCTGTGATGGGACGTTCAACAAAGCAGAAACGCGGAACGCTTACATGCACTCTGCAGATGTCTGTCCTGTTCACTAGATTTTTCTCCTACTGTCAATATCATATTATTTTTATTTCATTCAAAGAGTGCAAAGAAGTCCTTCCTACAAGAAGTAAACTTAGAGGACGGTGGGTGCTTTCTGTCATGGTGGAAGATAGTGCACTTTGACCCTCAGGAGAGGCTTGAATACGAGGGTCATCCTGTTCCTGTAAGTCTCTCCTGTACCTTCATGATTAATTATTCACCTGTCTCAACATTAGCATTTTCTGTTGTTTGAATCTAAAAACTGTATGCAGAATGCTTTGTGTTTTTTGTGCTTCCTTACATGCAATTATTAATAGTCTTTGTTTTTTTTACAGGCTAATGTGAAGGTGCTGATCATACACTGCAAGACAAACCAGGCTCTCGCTGTCCTGGGTGATAAAGTCTTGTGGTAGGCTATTTTTCATTTTCTTTTTAAACGTGTCCTCTTTACTCCCAGTCAAGGCAACTGTTAGTCGTAGCAGTAGAACAATCAATCTCTTCTTAACCCAAAAAAACATCCGAGGTATCTTAATAAAACTAATGTTTCCTGTCAAAATATGGCCAAAATACACCATGTAGATTCAGAACATTTTGATGCAGGCAACCTTTCACAGCCACTTAGCAAGTGGACATGTATATAATGGCAGTTAAAAGTTATGTTATGCTGTCGTTCTGTGGCTAACAGTTGTGTCCCTGCAGGACTACATATGGCAAAGAGTATGAGGTGACTGCCCACACCTTCTTGGATTCCCATAAAGCTGAGCAGGACAATAACCACTGGATACTGTGCACCGCCGACCCTTCAGGAAACGGCCTTGTACTTTTCAACCACCTACAGTCAGCGGCTGACAAGGAGGAGCTCACACAAGCAAACCCTGGGATCTAAATCTAACACGTTCCTCTCTCATAACTACTTAATGTTAACAAATAGGACCACATGATTAACAATCATGTTTAATAGTTCGATAGATACCACATGAATCATGTGGTATCTATCGAACTATTAAACATTTTTAAAATAAATGGGTTTTTTTCCTCCTGTTTGGGTCACTGAGTTTTTCTTCTTGTGCAAATAGATTCCAGGCTGGACTACAAACCTGGAGTGTTAAAGTTATATGATACACAATAGCTTGCCAAGCCACCGGGAGGAGGTGTAGAAAGAAGCATTTGATATGTTTCTTCAACAAAGTAGGGATACACTCCCATTGTTCTATTTAGGCAATAACAAGATTTGGCCACTTTCCCACGCATTTGGGATTTCCCCTGAAAGAAATTAGATATTGATTAGATAAGGAAATTAAATATGGGCTCTGGCGTGAAAGCTTTGCTATTGAAATCAAGAAAAAAAATATATAAACATTCCTCAACTGACTGAATAAATGCAGTCTTTTCACATTTTTAGCAAGTTAAAAAAAACACTTTAATAAGGGTGAAAAGAGAAATCTGTTTTATTATTGTCCTAAGGTAGGATAATTAATGATATTTAAACTTAAAGTATCTTGAACCATTCATGACAGTGTATGTAAAACTACAGGGACATGAGATTGGTATAGTGTGTAACATTTAGGAGGACTTATTGGAGGCTCTAGATAGGGCCGATTGTGTTTTTCACACCTTTCATGGCTGCTGTAGTTTCTCCCTCACGCTTTGAAAGGGAGGATTCACACTCAGCCTTTAAAGGACCAGTGCGTAGTGGGACTTAGTAGCATCCAGCAGTGAAGTTTAAGATTGCAACTAACTGAACATCGCTCGCGTCTGTGGACCTCTAAGGTTTAAGATATGTTTGTTGTTTCCTGCTTGTGGTCCCATTGCTGTCTTTCTCACTCAGGTCTTGAATTATGGTGTATTTAAGTAACTAGTTTGAAATAAGGCCGAATAAAATGAATATGAATACATAAATAAATAAATACATTTTAAAATACAAAACTTGTGGCCATAGTGTTACAGTTACAGTCGTGCTTTACAGGACTATTGTTTAGGATTTAGTTGCATCTAGTGGTGAAGTTTCAATCTGCAGCCATACACAGCTCAGCATGGAGGAGAAACTACGGTGGCGGCAAAACTCACGAGAAACATGAAAAGACCCTGTCTAGAGTTAGTGTTTGTCCGTTCTGGGCTACTGTAGAAACAAGGGTGGTTCAACATGGCGGCCTCTGTGGAAGAGGACCCGCTGCCTCCGTATAATATATAATAAAAGACCTTTAATCTGCAAATCAAATTTGATATCATTATAAATATACTATATTATACAAGATAAGATAGACTTTATCGATCCCACTCTGGGGAACTTTATTCACTCCAGATACAACACAACACAGTAAATAAGAAAATAAACATTATATATATATGAATAAGAGTTACATGTACACTAAATACCGCTTTTTATAAACACATGTGACTGACACTGACATTATATTATACTATTATTATACAGGTGACTAAAATTGAGCCAAAAAACCCATTTTGGTGGAAGACATGTAACATTTACTCCACACAGCCTGAAAGGTTGCACAACAGTGGGTAGTAGGCTACTGTGCTGGTGGTGTCTCGTTTCGAGCATCATGTTTCTCCACCCTGGTAAACTCAGTGAAAAAAAAACATTAGACATAATGATGTATTTCCACGTTTTCTTTTTTCTTTTTTTGGTGAGGATCACGTGTGACGGGTTGAAATTATAACTGACAATATACTGCCACAGATAACACTTCCTTATATTATGGCCCTACGTCGAGGGTGCGTTCAAGGGGAAAACGTTTTTATTCACCACCACACCGGTTAGCAACCATTTTGAACCAGCGGGTTGACTGCAATTGTGCGCAACGTTTTCACAAAGGCGTGTAAGATGTTTCGCTGCCGCAACACTTTCGATTTGGTCATCCAAAAATAAATTAAAAGGAAGTAGCGTGGTGGCTGACACCCATTTGCAACAGCGATGTAAAAACACGCTGCTACTAAACCTTCTTTTTTTTCTAAAAACGTTTTCTGACGTTTGGACTGCGCTGAACACGACCCCAGGTATCACGTTTCAAAGCGACAACAAAAGAGAAGGATTGTCCAGCGGCGAGATTATCGACCCTGAACCGCACTGTAGGCAGCAGATGTGCGCTCGCAGGAGTCCGGTTCTTCCGAAAGGTAAGTTACGTTATCTTTACACATGGGATCACCATTTAAACATCATCTCTTCTTTTTTATTCTTATTTATCTTTTTTTAAGGGTTATTAAACACATCAATATCATAAGTAAAATCAGGTTGGATCAATTCAGTTCATTTGGCCGCGGTTGTGTTAACATTTTATTTTATTTTATTTTATTTTATTTTATTTTATTTTTTTCTCCCCTGCTGCGGGTATGATAACGGTTTATAACGGTTGCATTAAGCTAGCTCACAGGTTAAACGGGGACTGACGTTAACGTTAACCGGAGGGGGGTCTAAAGCATGCAGCTGCGTTTTATTATAACGTTAGAGCCGAAGTGCAGCTTAGATACCTGAGCATGTTAAACTGCTAGGTTAGATTAAAAAATAAAATAAAAAAAACCCACCCTAATATTCAATAAATCGATAATCATATAGATACGAATTTAACGCTACGATGGTGATTTCTTGTCCTGATCATTAGCTGTGCGTCTCGGTGGCGTCTTGGCCTGTGTAGTCGCTCATGTTAAATCGCCTTTTTTTTTTTTTTTTTTAATGAGAGGAGATATGGTGCGATGGTTCTTATGAATCTGTATGACAGAGAAATCATCTGTGAACACAACCTGGGGGGATTGGGGTTGTTTAAGGGTGATTTCTAAATTGATTTAAACGTGAATTTGTTGGTTGTACGACCATTCAATAACGCCGTTTCGACAGAGCATGTTAATGTTACATACATATTATAACGTTACCCTTCATTGTTCCTGCATTGAGGGCGAAATGCTCTTCATTTCTGAAGGAAGGACTGTTGGCCTACTTTTTTACTCCACCGCATTTTTTTTTTTTACAGCCATGGTTACATTGCAACATACATGTTTAGCTTATAAATTTACAATGTATTGTTGTAGGTGAAACCAGCTCCAGTAGGTAAAACAACTCCACCTCGACCAGCAATTAGATGCTGCTTAAACATTAATAACAGTAACATGAATAATCCAGTATTACATTACTCTGAAAGGGGCGATCCTATCTGTATGAGTACTTTTTGTTGGTAATATTCCAGTACTTGTGGTAGAGCATTTTTTATATTGTGACTTAGGTAAAGGATAGAAAATATTGTAAATATGATTTATGCTGGACAAGAAGGACTTGTATCCGGAAAGATCCAATGGTATACAAGTTTATGGATCTGTATCCAGAGATGCATATCATATCATATCATATCATGTTACATCATATCACATCATATTAAAATAAATTCTGTCAAATATCCAGTATATAATCTTCTGCATACTGTCCATATGTTTGACGGATACAAATGTGTCACCATCTTAGATAGTACTGCATTACTGTACTGTTTGTGCATTTATTTATTTATTTATTAAGGATTCTACCAAGATTGGCATTTATTTTACTAGTAGAAGCTATCTGAAATCAATCTAAGCATTTTTTAATGACAAACTATACTGGTGTTTATACACTCTCTCAGATGGAATAAAATGAATGAATGAATTAAACATTAGGTCCAGTGTGTAATATTTCTATTGGCAAAATAGAATTTATAGAATAAAATATAATGGATGGAATATAATATTCATTGGTGCATAAGAAAAAAAAAGAATAAAACAAAATAAACATGAAAACAAGTACAATACATCAAGAAACATCAATAGGAAATTTACAATAATGTATGAAAATAATATTATATAGACAATACTAGATAATATGTACAATATATATTATTTTAAATGGAAGCTGTACAGTTTGCAGGAATGTGCAAAAGATTGCTGTATTAATCTTGTGGCGGTAACTGAGAGGCCGGCGCTGGGAAATGAGAAGCCGACTATTCGCATTCGGTGATTGGCTGGTCATTAGCTTCTGAGGCTGGAAATTAGCACGTGAGGCTAGCAGCCCACTGGATCAGGTATTGCCATGGCTAGCTATTAGCTTCCATTGCTGGCTACTAGCACACAAGGATAGCTAGATTATCTACTGATTTTGCTGGTCACTTTCTTCTTTTTGTATTTTATTGGCAGATTTAAAAGTCCAGTATGTAACATTTAAGAGGCCCCATTGGCTGAAATTGAATATAATATTCATAGTTATGTTTTCATAACCTGGATATAGCAATCATTGTGTTTTTGTTACCTTAGAATTAGAGTATTTTTTTATAGACATTGCGTATCTCGCTATGTTGAACCACAATGTTTCAACAGTAGCCCAGAATGGACAAACACTGGCTGCAGATGGGGCCACCATAGTTGGACCACAGGTCCAGGAGGGATGGCAGATTGCAGCTGATCACCTTCTTAGTGGAGCAAATGATGCGCTGCAGTCTGCCCTTGTACTTGGCAGTGGTAGCAGCGTACCAGATGGTGATGGAGGAGGTGAGGATGGACTTGATGTTGGTGGTGTAGAAGTGCACCATCATGGGGGTGGGTGGGGATAGGTTCCTCCTGAAGTCCACAACCATCTCCCCCTTTAGAGCAGTGAGCTCCAGGTTGATCTGGCTTCACCAGATAGTCAGTCTGCCTCCTGTAGGTGGAATCCCCACCAGAAATTAGCCCAATGAAGATGGTGTCGTCTGCGAATTTCAGGGGCCTGACGGACTGATGACTGGAGGTGCAGATGTTTGTTTACATCTGGAGAACAACAGATAAGAAAGAACCCAGCCATGGAGGCATCCGGTGCTGATGGTCCGGGAGTCAGAGACCTGTTTCCCCAGTCTGGTCCATCTGCTTTGCGGGGGTTCTGCCTCTTACAGAGCCAATCAACGTCCCTCTCCTGAAGGCAGAGTCGTCATTGTGATAGAGGAGGGGGTGGTCAAAGATGTGTGTAGTTGTGGAGAGGCCCAGACTCCTGCTGAGCTGGGAATGGGGGAGCTAGTGAGATGGGGATGGTGTCACGGGGGATGGTATAAGGACTGTCCCTTTGTCTTTCAAATCGATCTCGTCCGTTTGCCAGGAAGTCGTTGATGGAGAGGGGGGTGTTAGGTTTGTAGATAGTCAATTGTCAGAGCCTCTTCCAGACAGAACCAGAGTTGTTGGCTGAGAACTGGTGTCGGAAGTCATTTGGAAGATCCTGCTCTCCACTGCTGATTGTGCAGATAGATCCGCGTTATATTCGCTCATTTCCACTAACCTGCAGTGGAGTATTATGAACTATGATGAACTGTGTCCAGGTAGACCCCCAACTGTGACTTCTTCTAACCTCCAGCGAGAACCAGAGGAAGGGAGGCAAATCAGCCTGGCCCATGCCCATGGCCAAGTGCCTGTTCACAGCTGTGGCTTAAATACAGTTACTTAAACACACCATCATTAGGGACCTGAGTGACAAAAAAACAAGGGGACCACAACTAGCACACAACAAACATGTCTCCTGGTGATGTGAAATGTATTTACCTATGTGATCAAACCATAGAGTTGTATACATGACACATTGAACGGTATAAGATAACACAAGCAGAAAAGAGTTACAAAGTTAATGAAGTGACTGCTACTGAATCCAACACACTGGTCCTTTAAGGACTAAATAATAATATACCAGTTAGCCTACCTAGATTTTTCTTATAGGTCATGTTGACACAGACAGTGTCAACATGACCTGCCTTTGATAACAATAACTTTTCTGGAACGTATTGTCTATCATTAACAAACTATAGAGCATAGATTTGGGTTCGAACTTACCACCAGCCAAATGTTGGTAAAATATTAAAGTGGCTATTAAATAATGATTTACTGTTGAGTGGCTGGCGAATTTGAACAATTATGTGTCAGTGGCTGGTAGATATGTTTTTAAAAGATAATTTTCCACCCTAGTAACTACACTACTTAAACTGAACTCAGAAAGCTAAATAGAATTTCAACCAAACCATAGTTTGGTTGAAATTCTAACTATCTGCAACTTTATTTAATTGGAGTAATTCTTTCAAGGAAATTATTCTGGTAAACTCAAACTAAAATAACTCCAAGAAACTTTATTCCCTACAATTACTCCTAGATTACAAAGCTCTTTCCAGGACACCGACAGTGAACTTAGTAGGAAATTACGGATCTGTGATTTAAAATAAAACATGAGTAAGTCTGTGTCCCAACATGAAGGTCTACACACTATTTCAAAACCCTTCTAGAAAAAAACTAATCTGGGTAAGAAAGACTGTATCCTGGTAGGATTTGAAAATACTGGAACCAGCCTGATGAATTGTGTTTTTAACTGAAGAATCTAAAATGCTAAAAAAACTAATTCCTAGAAAAATTACAAAGGATGTGACATCAGGATCTTCGATGGTAGCGTGACCCTGGCTACATGCTTTCTATTCATATGGAGCATCCCTTGGTGATGCCCCCCTCTTTGACGGTGTGTAGGATTTAGTGGCATCGAGCGGGGAAGTTGCAGATTGTAACCAATTGAACACAGCTCGCATTAGTATTTGACGACCTGGGAATGAGAACCGGCTGTGAAGTGTGTGGGAGGGAACTATGGTGGCCGTGAAACTACAGCCAGTGTTTGGATTGTCCATTCTGGGCTACTGTAGAAACATAGCAGTTGGACGGAAGGCGACCCACGACCTCTGTAGATAAAAGCAGCTCATTCTAAGGTAACAAAAACACAACAATTCCTATATTCAGATGATTAGATGCTAATGAAAACATATCTATGAATCCTGAATTCCATTTCCAGAAGAGTCTCCTAAATATTACACCCACTAGACCTTTAATCAGCTGTTTTTTGTTGTTATGGGTCTCAGGCTTAAACTGATGATGTGTGGGCTACTTTCTCTTGGGCCTTCTCTCTCCCACCTCCTCTTTTACAGCCTCGATATGACTCGTTCAATCAGGAATGTGCCCAGAGGTGCTAATTCAGGTCATACCATGGCTCTGTATCAATCTCAAGTAGAATCCCAACAGGTGGTACTATACACGTGTTGCCAACTACCCAGCAATGATGGGATGGCCAAGTGAAGTGTGTCTTTCTTCATCAGCAAGGATTTGTCAGTAGTAAATATAGTTCAAAATGAAGTTAAATAATAGGGTTATGCTACAACCTAGGTTTTACAAATGAGAACCAGAGTACAGTACAGTGCATTACAGCGGACTAACAAAGACTGTTTCAGCTGAGTTTTATTTTGTTATGATGTTTTTATGGAGTCTGGTGGCGAGTGATAGTGATATCACGGCTGTTTCTGGTTAAACAAAAGGTATATCTCAATAGGGATCCTTTCCATAATATTGTTAGATAACAATTTGAGCCTGTCAGTGGCAAAAACAAGCACTTTTGGTGGATTTACTTTTAGTGGATGGGCGCATTAATGTTAGCTTACTTGCTGTGGCCAATGTATCCCTTTTCACAGATATTTTCACATCTAACACGATGAATCATGGGTTTATTTTGACCAAACCAGACTGTGGAAAGACAAAGATAGTTTGGGGGATTTTTATTTTCTTTCTGTCCCATTGTTTTGGTTTGAGATCCTGGTGCTCTAGTGCCACATCAAGTTATTTTGTATATATGGCCTTAAAAAAATGTGTTGATGATGATGTTTACATTATTGTTAAAGATATTCAGTCAGTGGCGGATATATTCCCTTAACGCAAACCATGCCCAACACTGTTGGTTAGTATGTAAGAAGAGTTTTGTTAACAATAATGATAGATAGCCACGTATCTATTCAGGTGGCTTCCTACTTGTACTACAAGTTGTAGGCTATGAATGCATAGTTGTCAAATAAACTGATTGAACTTTGAAGTGTATTTTACCAGATAATAGTTGAGTAAATCCATCATGGCCCGGTTGCTGTCCCATGGATTCATTGGATCTATTGGTTGTGTGTTATATTTTGTCTTTCATAGTTTTTAGCATTTGGTTCTGAGTAGATCAGCACTTCATTTAAAGTAAGAGAGTGACCCAGAAACACTGTTATTTTATTCTGAAATACAATAATATTTGATTTGTGTGGGAGACCATCGAGCCTGCACAAATTTGCATTATTTAGTTATGTAAGACCTGGTGGACACTGGATGCTATCCATAACCCTTTGACTGGTCATTATGCAATAAATTATAAATTGTATCTCTTCCTATAGCCTACATACATGCATTGTCACAGCAGTGGCTGTATTATTAACACACAGTGCCGTCTGACATTTAATGCATGTCAGCCAAGGGAGTATGATATTTATTCCTTATCACATTTAAAAAGGCAATCACAGGGGTGCCCTGGTATCTCACTGGTAGAGTGTGTGCCCCATGTACTAAGGTTAAGTTGTTACTGCTGTGACCTGGATTGGCTGTATGTAGTACCATCTCTCTCTACCAATAAAGATAACTAAATCCTGTCAGGTTCAGTAGCCCAGGTCAGTTTATTATACAACTATGCATGGCCTATAACTTGTAGTATGCAAGCTAGCCAAGTAGACAGATGGCTAGCTATCATTATTGTTAACAAAGCTATTTTTAGGTATCAAACAACAGTGTCAAACCGCTAGTCCGCTACCTCATTTTAGCATAATGTAAATATTATCAGTGCCTCTTTTTGGTAAATGTAACTATAGTCTATTTTAGACCTTCCTTTTGTGGTTGTTGACGTCAAGAATGTTTGTTTGCTATGATTGGATGAACACATTTTTGTCCTCTTTAACTATGCATGACTTTACCTAACTAGGGAGTAAAGGAGGAAAAAAATCTTGTACTCTACACTGGGTGTGTGGTGGAGGCCCGTGCAGAGCCTGTTCACAGCCTGTCAAGGTCAAGTTCAGTAGGTACTAACTCTCACTGGGAGTTGTAGCACAGCCCTGAAAAAAAAATGTTTTTGACTGCGGCTAAACTAATGACAACAGCAACAGCTGTACCTACTGTGTTTCATATGTCACATGTTAGTGTAATTGATGGACTGTGCATTGTGTAACCAGGCAATCATGGCAGTGAACGTCCCTGGACTGGTGGCTGTGGTGGTTTTTTATATTGTCATCCTGGTAATTGGGATCTGGGCATCTCGAAAATCCAAGAAAGTGGAGAAGACATTTGCTGGCAGCAAGAGCGAGGTTGCTATGGTTGGAGGCCGCAACATCAATGTCCTGGTCGGGGTTTTCACCATGACAGGTAGAACTTTTACTTTTATGTCTGTCATTTAGTAGTGCTTGATGTGTGTTCCTTATTGTGTGTGCTCTATGCTCCCTCCTGTGTTTTGTTGCTCAGTTGTCACTTCATTTCTGTGGTTTTCTTCTAGCAACATGGGTTGGTGGAGGTTACATTATGGGAACTGCTGAGGCTGTTTATTCTCCTACTCAAGGTCTCATCTGGGCTATGGGGCCTCCTGCATATCTTATCAATTTCCTTTTGGGTAAGTATCTGAAACAAATGACGCTTTCTGTACGGGTAACACAGAACAGAGGAAGAGGTGATTGTTATTGTACCAACCTAACAAGATTATTACACCATTCCGAAAATATATCTGACATTTTGAGAAGGTTTTTTTGTTTTATTTTGGGTAAGTAGTGGCACCCTGGGGTTGTATTTTCAGCATTCACAGGATGTGATAGGTCAAATGTGCTTTTGAGTGTGTGTACTTTTTGCTGATTCACTTCTTAAACTCAGAATTACAAGGAATACAGCAGCCCTGGTAACATGTGCATCTAGAAACAAAATATTTGATCTTTTCAAACCATTTACCTTATCTTTGTTTAGTTTTGTTGTGGGCTTTCACCTTTCCCAGCATCCACTGAACAAGATGCAGGGTAGAGATCCTTGACTCAGACTCAGACAGAGTTCAGTCAAAGTGAATGTCTGCAATGACTAATCTAGATTTTTAACATATGGAAAGCTACACAAATTAAATAACTGATAATCTAATACTTTGATTGCTTATAGAATAAAACACAGATTTTTAGGGTGAGGCATACATTGTCTTTTAGGATTGTACATTCCTAGCTGATTATTTTGTGCAGTATTATACTTCCATTTTTTGTCAAGGTTCTTTCATACACCATCAGCAGATTGTTGTCTTATCTAGGCCTACAGACAGACATTCACACGTACATATTCGCACTTACGGAAAATCATCTAACCTCCTTCTTTATGGACAGGAGGAAGGCGCCCCCAACAAAGGGAGGATTTGTACACAGGCATTTTCCATCCAGTCAGATCCAAACCCATGACCTCTTGGTGTGAGGTGACAGCACTAGTAACAACTGAGCCACTGTGTGCAGAAAATATCTGATGACATTTCAGTCCATACCTAACCTGCAAAAGAAAATGGCAAAATTTCAAATATTTTATATAAAGGATACTTGAAACTAGGGCTACAACTGATGATTACAGTCATTATCACTTAATCTACTGATTATACCCTTGATTAATTCTTATATGTGCCAGCAAATCATGAAAAATGCCCATCACAAGTTATCAGAGGCCATGACAACATCTTAAAAGGTCTTGTTTTGTCCGACCAATAGTTCAAAACCCAAAGAGCGTCACTTTATTATTATTTACTTTAATGATTTAACGAATACTTTAAATCATTAGAATATTTTTAATGACAATTTTCTCTTTTTGTTTCATTTCCTTGTGTACTCTCTCTACTTTCTGAAGGAGGATTGTTCTTTGCAAAACCTATGAGGTCGAAGCGCTATGTGACCATGTTGGACCCATTTCAGTATCGCTATGGCAACATGTTCACTGCAACACTACTGCTTCCTGCTTTGGTCAGTGATATTTTGTGGGTGGCCTGCATCCTTGCTGCTCTTGGTAAGTAATACTTTGTAACTATGTCTTCATGTGTCAGCTTTAACATCTAATCTCAACGCTCTCATTACATTTTTGTATACCATCACTGATTTAACGTTCTGTGTGTTTTCCAGGAGGAACGATGAGCATAATTCTTGAGCTGTCGTCTGCCCTCTCCATCATTCTTTCGGCAGCCGTCTCCATCATCTACACATTTTTAGGAGGCCTCTACTCTGTTGCATATACTGATATCATCCAGCTTTCCTTCATCTTTGTCAGCCTGGTGAGAAACAGAGGAAGCGCAGAGGGAGGGAAATACAGAGGGAATGCAATAAAGCAGTGAGAGACATAAATGACTGAGAAGAGAGGGGGAGTAGGATGGTGGGAAGGCAACAGAAATAATGGGACTTACAATATGTGAGATACATAAATACAGTCATGATGAAGTATGATAAGAAATGTAAGAAATTCAATAGATGACATGACAGTTTTGCTATAACAGTTGTTTTTTTTCTCTGTTTCAGTTTCTCTGTATTCCTTTTTTGCTACTCAGTCCTGCAGTTACTGACATCTCACAAACAGTCCACCTCAACCAAACAAATGTAAACTCATGGATAGGAGAGTTGAAGCTGGCAGATGCAGGAAAATGGGCGGATGAAATGCTGTTATTGGTTAGATTTTAAATGTTATTTTGTGTCATTGTGTGTGTAATTGAGTTAGGCAATTGAGCATCCTAAGCTGAAACATTGCACCACATCATTTTGTGTTTCTTCAGTATAGGCTTCCCATACATCCCGGAAAGCCTGTAATTCATCATTAGAGCTTTTCAGTCCAACCTGAAGCAGCTAAATGGAATTCAGCCATAATTAATGTTATAATTTACACCTGTGCTTTTCCTTCTGTGACATGTCAAAATGTCTTCTGTGGAAAAGGCCTATTGAAATCGCACTTCGGTTCAGGATATCCATCATAGCTGGCTTGCTCCTCTGGGCTCAACAACTAATGTCACTGTTGCGTTGTAATATCCTGTAGTTAGAATAGACTTAAATGTTTGAAAAAAGGATTGTTTTCAGTGCATGTTTGTGTGTGCGCATGTGCAGCAAAGTTTAACAGAATATGACTTTGTTACCTATGTTTTTAATATAGCTGTAGTAGCTCGAGTGGCTTTTTTGACAGTGGATATTTTGACATTCAGGAACAGCACCACTAACAGTGATGATGGCTCTGTTTCATTTAACCAAGTCAATCTTAATACTTACATGCTCTTATGTACATTGACATAGTTATTGGTGCTCTAATAATTCTCCCTGTCCATACTGGAAGCAAAAAGATTCCCTCCTTACGTAATTCCAATGTAAGTGCTAGGGGAAAAATCCACAAATCCAGTCTTTTTATTGAACAGTGTCTCCCTTTGAATGCATATTAATACAAAGAGGCTACTGAAAAAGAATACGTTTGGATTATACTTTACGTCTTCCATTGGAATGGGGATCTCGTTATGGCCAGTATATGGACAGGAGAGGCATTTGCAGCGACCAACAACTCTTACAAGTTACATATGGGCGTGTGAGTTTTGTTATAAGGCTCAAAAAAGTGTGAACCTGTCCTTTACCACTAAGTCATGCTAGTAAATCCACATGCCACAATACCAGGGCCCTGGAACTGGCACACATAAATGTTATCTAGGAGTTATTCGTCTTATTGAAATTAATATGTGTTTAACCTGTCTGTCTACTGTGAGAAAACTCTATTTTGTTAACAGCATGAATTTCCAAGTTGTTCACTGACAAAGCTTGTGTGTTTTGTGTGTGCATGCGTATGTTGTAGGCTTTGGGGGGACTGGCCTATCAAGCTCTATACCAGAGGATCCTCTCTGCAGCCTCCTCTGCTCAGGCTCAGGTCACATGTTTTGCTGCTGCTGGGACAGTTTTTATTATGGGAATCCCTTCTGTTGTCATTGGAGCGGTGGCTGCCTCTGCAGGTATACATGCGTGTAAACACTCAGCTGTGCTCATACAGTACACACTTATATTTTCAATTAGACAACATGTTGTAACACTTAGATCCTACTACCACGGTTAATGGCATGGGGTGATATAATCTTGGTTTCATTTGTATGTGTGTGAGCATTCGCTTAACTATTAACATGTCATAATCAGTATGTTGGGACATTTACTTGTTTTCAAACATTTAGCCTCCTTCTCCCCAGTGCTTTATTTATTTATTTTGATGCCATCACCATAATCTTAAAAGCTTCTTCCCCTCCTATTATTTTCTTTTCTCTCAACCCTGGCTTTGTCTTTCTCTACCACTATGTTGCCTCTTCTCTCTTGCTCTCCTTTTCTCTAAGACTGGAACCAGACAGCGTATGGTCTACCCCCTCCTTTTGAACGAGGGGAGGCAGGAAAGATCCTGCCACTGGCCCTGCAATACCTCACACCCAGCTGGTTATCAGTGTTAGGCATTGGTTCTTTGGCTGCAGCAGTTATGTCCTCCATGGACTCTGTACTGCTGTCCTCAGCATCCATGTTTACACAAAACATATACAAGACGACTTTGAGGAAGCAGGTGTGTGCGTGCGTGCGTGAGTGTGTGTGTGTGTGTGTGTGTTTGGTTCAGCATGAGGCAAAGGAACTCAATTTTTATTGTCCTTCTCCTCTCTCTTCCTCGCAGGCCTCAGAGCGAGAGCTGCAGAGGGTGATCCGTGTTAGCGTGCTGCTGGTAGGCCTGGCAGGAATGGGCCTGGCCTTTGATGATGACAGTGTGTTCGCCCTCTGGCTGCTGAGTGGGGACCTCCTCTACTGCGTGATTCTCCCACAGCTCATCTGCGTGCTTCACTTCAGCTGTGCTAATATCTACGGTGCTATTAGCGGCTTTGTAGTGGGACTGCTGCTGCGTGGGCTGAGCGGGGAGCCAGTGCTGGGGATCCCACCTCTCCTCCTGTACCCTGGCTGGAGAGAGGAGGACGGAGTTGTCACACAATACTTTCCCTACAGGACTCTGGCCATGCTTTGCTCTGTAATAACTATTATTGCAGTGTCCAAGCTGGCGGAGCTGGGCTTCTGTCACCAACTAGTTCCGCAGTCCTGGGATTTACTAGGGGCGTTTGAAGAGAAAAAAGAGGCAGAGGGGGAGGAGGTTTCTGTTCCTCAGGAGAAAAATAACAGTATCCTTAATACAAAACTGTAGGCTTAAATTTAGTACAACCTCAGCCAAAGTATATACAAACTTCTTTTTATGCAACTTTTTTACCAACCTTCTTCTCCGCACAGACGATTTACGCACACTCTTATATTATGTGTATACTGCACATGTTGAATACTGAAGTATATGCTTTATATGCACCGACCTCTGACCAGCAGTATATTGAGAGTGATTCAGGGAGGCAGTAGAGACATGTTGGTGTCTCTTTGTAACTGAACAAACGCCACACATGAAGACCTCAAGATTCTGATCTTAATGTCAGAATTCACATGGTCCTGATCCTCTTAAAATGAACCTCTTTCCTCAATCCTTAATCACAGTTAACATTTTCATAGTTTCTAAATCTAGTCCTCTCCACTCAATCCTGTTCAGTAAATTATTCTCAAGCCAGTTAGTGTTATTTAATTGTGTATTTTCTGAGAAGTAGTTTAGCCTCTTTGCATATATTAAGCACTGAAGGGACAAAGCAGTGCTGTTGCAATACTTGAGACGCTGTGGTTGAGTGTTCCTCAGAAACAAAGAATCATGCAGGAATTACCTGTTGATAGATGTATTTACCATTATGTTATGTTTTAAAGGGATCACCAATGAAGGACCATCAAGATATAGAATTACAATTACTATTTTTAAAGATGTTTTGTGATTTCAAGTGTTCATAAAAATGAAACAATCCGTTTCTAATCTTTGCATCTGATGGAATCTGTGTCTTTTAATGTGTATTTGTGAGTAAAAGAGATTTTAAAAAGACTAAAAATGGTACCTAAACACAAGCTACATACTCAAATTGTTACATAAATTACTGCATATAGGGTACACTATTTTACTACGTTACCTTTAAAAAAACAACGCACTTTTTGTCACCTGCAGCCTTTAATTACACCACCCAAAAGTATGCCCCTTTGTTGCCTTTAGAGCAGGGCCGCCACAAGGTTCAATTTGGCCCACCGGATGATTTAAAATTAAATCGATGATTATTTTTCATAATTTGAGCACAGCGATTAACAATCTGAGCCGATCTGTGGCTTTTAATGGATGTATTTTGAGGGTGCACAATTGCCTGCAAGAATTACGTTGTAGCCTGGTTCAGCGAGTGAAGTTCAGAACTTGTTGTCTTGTTTACTTTTGACCCAAGGCCCACCATTAAGTTTCAGTTGTGGCCCCTTAAGGGAAAATGTTTGGGCACCCCTGCTTTAGAGCAATGCCGTGACTTAGTATTTGACATATACTCTAACCACAGTTCAACTGCAATTCCACCTTTGTGGCAGCAGAGGGTGACACCTAAACACTGAAGGGACCTCAAGAGTCTTAACCTGACTGACTCTCACGAGATGGTGGTTCCCCCCCAAAAAAAAAAATCCTTAAAACTGTAATTTGAAAGTACCAAAAAATAAACCGGTTTTTCACAGCTTTTGCGACACCATATCAGAAGACCTTCTAGGACAGGCTTGTAGTTTTGATTACTTTATTAAGCAAGTGTTTACATTACATGATGTTCATTTTATTATACACCACATAAATGATGTTTTAAAAAACCGCATATTCGCTCCTTTCACATGCTGCTTCGGTCGTTGCGCAATTCAGAGTTAGTAATGAAGCTTCGTTAGCATTCATTATAAATGAACAAATAACAGGACTGGTTTGAAGTAAAATATTGCTTTTCTGGTGTATTTTATGGCAATATATTAAACTAAAGTGATATGTCAACATTGCTTTAAATTTTAAATTAGTGTAGACAAGGTAGTGGTAGAGTTCACTTAATAATTCGTTTCATTCAATGTTTTTTTGTCATAATCACAACACCCCTTTAATTCCCCGTTTTAAATTACAAGTTACAATAAAAAAATAAAAAAATCGTTTTTTATAATAAAATGGTATGGCAAATCCCACACGGTAAACACTTAAGTGAATAATAGACAGTAAGGTAATTAAAAACAATTTTGCATTCTATAAATCAAAAACTTATGTGAAATGAAAAAAAAAAAAAAACAGTTGTAGGCTATTGTACTTCTTAGGGTCTCTTATTGTCGGAGAAATGCACCTTAATGGCCGGTGATGTTTGACAGTGACATTATAAAACCTGCACCCAGGATCAAACGGGCTTTGCAATGAATAGCGACGCCCACTGCACACTGTGTTGTCACTGCTGCATGTCTGGGATGAATGAACGCTGAGGGCAGTGTTGGTACTGTAGTCCTCTCTTGAATGAAGGCTCCATGTCAGGTTTTACTTTGGGCCTGTGACGATGGTGTGCAGTGTAACCTATGGTACAGCTCCAGTGCACAAAATAGACTTCGTAGGTTTGAACGTAGTCCTGTTGACTCCAGAGGCAAGAAGTCTTATTATCTAAAAAAAAAGAAGAAAGAAAAGAAAGAAAGAAAGACAAAAAACATTATAAAGGGCGATTTTTGTTTAATTGATAAAAGGAATTATTCCTATTTGAAATAAAAAACACAGTGGGAGGGAACAGTTAATGAATCTCTAAAAGAAATTGACTGATAGGGTAACCGTTTTCCCCTTAATACTGCAGTTATATTTTAAAATCTAATAGAAAAGCTACTAAAAGAAAGTGGAGAATCCCATAATAGATGCATAAGTGCCCCAAAATCATACATATCACATTACACATAAAGTATTCAAAGTGTATTTACAAAAGAAATGCAAGTATGGCCTTTGATGAGTATTAATCCATGCTTTACCCTCAGTTTGTTCTGACCACACTGATTTATTCCCTTTGAAAACCACCAGTGGTAAACAGTCGTTTAAATGCAACGTGAACATGTTAACTTATTATAATAATATGTATTCATTACAAGGAGTCACTACACCTTTTGTCGCCTGTTCACCTTTATTATGGACAATGTTATCTGTATAACGTGTCATAAAATATTGTCATATAACACACTTCTGTTCAAATGTAACTAATTTTAAGCTTTTTTGTTTCACATTGATGGTGACTGCACATGCTTCTTTTTGTTTTTCATATGAAAAAAATGTAATAAAATTGAGCAAATTTGAATGGATGATGAGTAATGTACGTGGACGACAAGTCATGTCAGATTTCTTCTGAGTAAAACTCACATTCATTGCAAGCAATGTAATCATTTACCTCTTTCAAACACAAAGTTATTGAATCAACAGTGTACAACCTTGGAAGAAATGAATGTCAGATAGCATGGTCTGGATACAGTTGATGCATTTCCCAGCAAAGTTATATTTTATTTCACCTAACTTAGCTGCAGAACAACAGGATGTAACATCTCCGCATGTTATGTCAGTTAGTGGTGGATACTTTAATTAAACACAAATCTTCTTAAGAATATGCACCATGTAATATAAACTACAATATTTATGGTAGTAAAACACATTTTTACACATGCAGGGCACCTCTACAAGATGTCAGTATTAGGTAAAAATACATAAAACACCAAAGTTCTTCAAGAATTTAAGTCATTGCCTCACAGACAATGCAGTGCCTTCAGGGCCCCCGGGCACTTGCCCAGTTTGTAATCCAGACACCCACATCATTTAAGGGCTTCCGAACCCTTTTTTTTGCTTGTGACCCCTTACGACAAAGCAGGGTCTGTAAAGGATAACGATCCAGTATTTCACACGAAAAAAAAACTAAGATAATAAAGCCTGAAAGTCTTGGCGTAGCAGAATTTAGATGATCTACTAAGGGGTCTCTTTCACAAATGGCTGCCACTTTAACAGATTGCAGATATAAATTTGCACAGCTCTGGCATGCTCATGCATGGCTTTCAGGTACAGCATTTCTTTTAATTAGTGAAATGTGTTAAAATGAACATGAGGAGCAGGGTCGGAAGCTAGAGAAATATTCAAAGGGGGGCAGAATCATATGCTGATTTAATTGCAAACAATCAATATTAGTCAACATTGGCTTGGAAAAGCCCCCAAATGAAGACATTTCAACTCAAAAACATTTCATTATTGTGCCATATTAGTAAAGCATAAAAATAGCTTCCAAATACATGAATTGACATTGAACATTTCACTGAACTCTAGCCTGTCACTTAGTCTAAAATGTGGCCATAACAGATCATTAAATTAATTTAAATTTTAAAACACATTATTAAAATGAATTAAACTAATGTGTTAACTTTGACAGCGTTTAACACCAAACTGGCATGTTGAAATGGGTTCCTGGGTATCATCCTCCCCTCAGGTTGGGAACCATTGATTATAGAGATGTAACTCAAACAAAATTGTGATGTACTTTATAGCCTTGTAATTCTTTGGATGAATAAAACCTCTTAAAGCCCACCGGGTTGCCCGCTTGAGCAAGCTTTGAGCTGCTCAGATCGCTGGCACAAATATGTTTAAACTTTCTTTCAATATGGACATTACATCATTCAATCGTTCAGTTCATCATATGGAAACAATGAGCACCAATCAAATTAAATGATTTGTAGGTATAAGTAATAAACCTAGGGGTTTAAATTAACAGTTTAATAGGATTTCCTATCTTTGCTGAGCAAAAGTTTCGTACAAAAGTGGGTAAAGATTCCAAAATAAAAGCAGGTTGAGTTCAGTGACTGAAGTAAATAAAAGCCCGGGCTATAGATTGAAATTTGTCTCCACCACCCCCACGGTGCGGTCTGACCAGCATTCCGGGCACTGGGCTGTCTTGTTTGGCGTGTAGAGGGATTTCGGAAAACCCCGTGTCCTCTGTACCCACTCCGGGTTTTCCGTCCCGCTCCCGGCCACCTTATCCGTAGCACTATGTGTTTCTGAGAGAAGCCGACTCTTGTTTACAGCAGAGATTCCACGGAGGAGCGGAGACCCACAGCCTGCGTTCACCGTGGGCGAACCGTAGGATTTCAGCCTCTGGATTTTTACACGCGACGGGCGTTTTTTTCTCCCCCTCCCGCCCCCCCCCTCTCCACCTTCGGTCCCTCTCTTTTTTATTTAATGAGGATAAAAGGCAAAACAAGAGACACTCGTAAAAGGGCAACTCCTTGGACATATTCTCCCTCCCTAGCCGAGGTCGTCTAGCTGGAGACCCGTTGTCTTGCGTGGCACAAGTCTAGTGTTTTTCTTCGGCTACAAATCCCGAGATAAGTCCAACCCGAAGGACCTGGAAATTTGTTTTTTTTTAATTTTTGTAAAGCGACTTCTCACTGCGGGCAAGGACTGCGTGCTGGGGATCGACAGCCAGTGTTTTGGCTGAATGGCATAGGCAAAAAAAAAAAGAAGAAGGTTTTTCATTCATTTTTCAACCTCCCAGCCACCACCCCTGTGGATCTGGACGTGTTTTCTACCCCACTCCCCCCACCCTCCCCTCATACGGTCATTCACACGGGGGATTCTTGCGAGCGACACTGGCGTTAATTTATTATGGTGGTATAGGCCACTAATAATAACAATTAGTCTGATATTTGGGTTGTTATTGCCAGGCCTGATACGCACTGTACGCGCACTGCTGTTTTTAAGAGATGGAGACTGAAGATGGGGATTACCATCATTTATCCAGTAAAATCACTGGCTTGTGTGCCATACCAGCCGACGTCAAAGTATCCTGTGATTGGCAAAAATAGCAGACTGTTTTAGTGTCTCCCCCCGTCCCCCCCAACCCCCCCACTTCAAAGGAATTCCCTGTTATAACAATTTATACACATTTATTTATATTCTTTTAGAGCAAACCCTGGCAGAGAAGCACACCACGCATCCGCAGGCTGCCATATAGACTAGCCTTTCTGGGCTACAGACATATTTATTTTCCCTTTCCCCCCTCCCCACATCAAGGTTGTTTTTTTTAAGGGGCTGGTGTAACAACCTTATTATTTTTTATTTACATTTTGTTCCTGACTTTTAATTTTAATTTTTTGGATTTTTTTGGAGAGCTGAATAATGTTAAGGAACATGAGATCTGACACACCAATGGGTAGCCCGACCTTGTTTTGGGGTCTGATGCTGTCTGTCTTCACTATCTGCATCTGGTCCACATATGGAGAGAGTAAGTATTTATTTTATAATATTTTCTTATTTTATTAAAGCATATTGGTGTGCATGCCCAGCTTAAACTCATGTAAAGCCATATTTTTTTTGCTGACTGATAATATGTCAAATGTATTTATTTTGTAAAATATATATATATTCAAAATCAGAGGAATACATTTTATATCAGGACTTAGTTACTCCATACGACAAACCTAGTGGGCATAGGATAAAGCTCACCGACGTGAGGCTTTTACCTATTTATCAGCTGAAGTCCATGTGGTAGGCTACAGCTGCCCGTCAGTGGCTGAACACAATTACGCAAAAAAAAAATCCGCCTCGTTGTGCGCAATGACGCCTCGTTGGATGAGACCGTTGTGTTTATTTAGAAACGGGGAGGGATACTAGGCACATGTCGCCGTAATCTTGGCGTTAGACATCCAGAGAGCAGAGGATGAATCCAGGGACCAGAGCTGAAGGTTACTACGACCATGTGGCCATTTTGCATTTCGTGGTGTGGCGCCGCTGCGCATGGACAAACCATTGCTTCTTAAAAGGCCATACAGTCATAAAACACACAAACAGAAGGGGGGGGTAAAACATATACATCAGCCGAGCTTCACTATAAACAGTCATCATGATGGGAGGAAATATTTATTTTGTGAGAAGATGATCATATTTTGTTTCCAGACCTCATTTTTTAGTAAACCTACAACCACATACTCTGTGTATAGCTATGTAGTGTTAATTAATGCCTTTAAAATACACCAGCACCTGAGTTTATGTGTGTTTAAGATCCAGTTTTAACACCATGCTCGTACACACTGATGAAAGATGCCTGTAGAAACAACATTTTAGAATATATACATATAAACCTGTTGGAAAAACACTGAGGAGAAGGTGAGGTTATTTATCATTTGTTAACCTTTTCCTCTTGAGCGTTTTATATGCTTTAAATAAAAAGAGAAGCTTGTATATTGCATTTAAATGTACTGTTTAGTCATTTAAAATGTTTTACACTTATATCAATTTTGCTGCCCTTGCTGTGATTTTAATGTTTTGTTTTGTGGGTTTTATTTTAAAATGGGTTTGTAAATACTCCAGCAAGCATATTTTAAGTTTTCCCATCTAATCTAAAGTAATTTTATCCAATATTTTGTATATAGCAGCCAGAATCAAGGCTGCTTTTTGCCAATGCTAAAATAGAACAACTGGGAATTAATGAGGGTCATTGAGCATTGCTTCTCTCTTCATTGGACGGTATACAGCCGTTAGATTTATTCCCTGACTGCTTGGTGATGATGTGCCGTACTGGGCTTCTCAGTGGAATCACTCTAAAAACTGTGTTGGGCAAAGATAATATCTAATCTGTCTAAAAACAAAAAATCTTTAGGCCAACTCTAACAGGATTATACACATGATTTAGCCAGTATTTATCAGACATACTAAAGAATTATGTGATAAGTTATATTAAGTTTTTAAGGTTGAAACAGGAACAAGAATGTGGTTTTACGTTAACAAAAAACATTGTTCTTTGTTCCTTTTTGCGACTTCCACTCTTAACACTGCGTCAAAGTCTTGATTCTTTGATGTTTTACCAGACGTTTATCATTTGCCTTCCAGTCAGTTAACTTCTCCAGGTGCATCTTTCCACCACGAGCACAGAGCTTGTGATTGTGCAGCCCGCGTAACTTGGGTGGCATGGCATGATTTGTTTGTGTATATATGTGTGTGTTTAGCCTTTTACGTCACTTCCGTTAAACTAATTTGTATGTTTCCTGAGAGGATATGTGGGATGGTGGAGACGACTTGGCATGGGAAGGAGACATGTAGACTGACCTCTATTAGCATTAAAATAGAAAGAAAAAAAAAACCCTTCATTTTAGCCCTATTGGTATGACTACAGCCATGTGGGGATGCGTTTCTTTGCAACCTCCTGAGCCAGTGAGACACCCATGAACGCAGCTGGGGGCTGGGAGACAAGTGGTTACTCTCAGATCTTGACGCACTGTGGTGTATAATACATCAGGCCTTCCAGAACAAAGAGTTCAGAGACAAAGACGGTGGTGAATATTAAGACAGGGATGGTTCTCTCACCAGTTTATCACTCGGGGATGATGTTTGCTTCAATGGGCTCTAAAGGGGGCAGCATTTCCAGCTCCTATCATCACTTAGTGGAAAATCACAGATATCCAAGAGCTCCATTTAGGGGGGTGAAAACTTTTTTTTTTTTTTTTTTTTTTTGCTCAGTTCGTTTTGATAATCTGTCCACACCAATAAAATGTAATTAAGCTCCCTTTTAACTCCCACCAGTAAACTTTCCATGCCATGGCTTCCAAGTATGCAGCAAACAAGTCTCTAAAAGGGAGAGAGAGTGCGAGGGAGATAGAGACTTGGTGTTTGGAAATAGAATGTGTAAAAATACACTTGCAAGAGAAACAGACTTGGTTTTGTTGATTGGAAGAGTATCGAGTTTGTGAACTGTTTTATTGGCTTCTGCTGTTCACACGGAGTGGTCTCCTGTATAGACCGATGTGCTTAACTTCATCACTTGGCACCACTACTATTACAGTTATAAATAGATATGTCACCAACAACATTGGCGCAGGGGTTGTGTGAGTACAGGCACCCTCTGTCCCGTTCCATGAGGCCACACCAGTGTTCCTGTTCAGTTATTTATGAAGGGGCAATGTTGCTCCAGAAAACCTGAATGGAGGCCTAAATAATCAAACGTCAGCAAGCATTGTGTTTGACAGGCACCCCCTCCTACCTTTCCCTTTGGGGTGTGGCATGCTGCAGTACAGCTCTCCTTGTCATGCTGGTGCAAGTGACTTGGATATGACTGTTGTCGCTCTACTCCAAGGTGCCCCACTCCATCTTGTGACTGTGACTACATGGTTACAACCTCCATCCCCGAAGCTCACCACGCATTCCCTTCCCCCCACTTTTGGCTTGGCTAGATGAAGGAATGCCTTGACTCAGCCCCCCATCCGCGAGAAAGTGTTGTGAGTGTTCACAGCCCTCTGGTGTGTGTTTGCGTGTGTTTGCATGTGAGCTCATTGTGCAGCTCTCTGTGTGTACTGCAACAGGACTCAGTGTGACAGCCTGAGTCAGTGGCGTGCCCCTGTGCAGGATGTGAAAGTGTGTCACTGGGCTAGTTTGTGAGAGTGCAGTCAAATGCTGTCCTACAGCTCCTCGAGGCTGCCAGCTGAGGTTTACAATGCTTAATTAAACACTTTATTTCAAGTGGCCCGTCATTGGATTTGCACAAATGCAGTCTCTGGCCAACCGCACATACATCATCATGGGTTGCCGGTTTAATGGTCCGTGGAGTATTGTACAATTTGTGAGATGATTGCAAATGTTATCTCTTCTAATGGATGGCACTCACCGTATCAGTTGAAAGCTGTTCATCAAGAACTGAATGTGGACCCCGTCCTGAGTGGACAATTCATCAGCTTGAGATGATTCTCAGAGGTGTTTCCAGAATGTCTTCAAGAAATTCTTCATTGTTTCTTGTTAATCGCTCTGTCATCACTTGGTTGTAAACACTGAGGTGCAAGTTGCATGTTATTTGAGAGTACTAGGGGTGCAAGAAAATATTGAAAAATAACATATTGCAATATTTAAATCTTCAACTGCTAGATAGGAGTGTTGTAAACTGAGGGCTATGATGTTGGATGTTACAGGGGCTGTGATGAAATACAAATGCGGATCCGACTGTTCTGGTTGCATGAAAAAGAAAGCCATTTTTTACTCAGATTTACTCTAATTTTCACAATATTTCGCCTTGCTTACATTATCACAGTATATTACAATATATTGAATCGAAATGTCTGTGTCGTGATACGTATTGTATCACCAGATTCTTGCCAATATACAGCCCTAGAGAATACAGGTGCATACAATATAATAAACTGTCATGAAAGGCAGCAAGCCAGTTTGTCTGTAGCTTCAGATTAATGCTGGTGTTAAACTCACAATCAATTTTTAACGCCTGAATTGGTGCTGGATTATGCGCTTTGTTTTCTTTTAGAAATTTTGACAGAGGCTATGGAAGGAACCTGAAAGAAACTTGTGTGTTTCTGTGCACAGACTGCTGAATCACAAGTAGTGGTAGGAAAAAATGTTGGAATTTTATGCTACAACCAACATACACGAATATAAGTAATATATTCATCTCCCTTTAAATTTTAAATATTAATAAAGTCAATTTTCCTTCACTTGTTCTTGCAAGTTTCCTCTCAGACATTAATCCTTTATGAAGCAAATTTACTATAACGGGACAGTAAATGTAATGTGGTGGTTTTAAAGTGATCAGGTTGTAGTGTGCATAACAACATAACGTATGTCATCCCCTGCCCTCTTCCCTAATTTTGGGTGAGGGGGAGTCTTTGTGCGAGAGTTGTTATGGTGGGGAGTGTAGTGTTACTGTTTGGGGTTGTGGTGATATCTGAGCCACAGTGTTTGAAGTAAGGTCCACTGAGGGGAAGTGGCCCACCAGATTGCTGGTCAGATGACTTCCAGTATGCCGGGGATTAGGGCCAGTTGATGTGGCAGGTGTGAGGGGATATGACCGCACGGTGACCAGCTCCCTCCCTGCTTCAGCTAAAACTGGATTTCAGTGGAAAAGGTTTGATGCTAATGCTGGTTATTATTATTTATTATTTAAATGAATACCAATAGCAAATATGATTTATTATTAAGTTAATTCTTTGCTGTGTCACATAAATACAAAGCAGATTACCCACCAACTAGAGCTAAATGGTAAATAGGAAAATCCAATCAAATTTAATACATATTAATCAAATTAATTAATAATAATAATAATAACAATATAAATATATATATACCTTTTATTGTGCATATAATAATTAGGATTTTTCAATACCTAGCTTTGACTTTGAGGAGAATGACACCAAACCAAGATATGACATTTTAATAATCTCTTTTGTACAAGATACTTTCATGCAAGATACATATATTTAAAATACTTTCTCCACCAGAGATTTTCCCATGATGTGCAGACATGAACGTGGGACATTTCCAAAACAGATCAAGGGATATTTGTTTGAAATGATTTTAACTGGAATAGTGTTTAAAATATAGCATCTTTTAAATATAATCCACAGAAAGTGGTGGAGCTCTCTCAGTGCTAGAGAATTCAAATACAGCGCTCTCACATTTAGTGCAAAAAATATTAGAAATAATAGTGATTTTACTCATTTCTCCAGTAGAAACACTAAACACTTGAAGGCTCTGTTTCTATTTCTTTCTTATCGTTGTAGCCCTACATATTGTAAATTCACATGACACCTCTTCGACCCTGTGGAAGAATCTTCCTAATAACCTTCCTCCATTTTTCAGCCGGACATCCTGAAAGAGGATACAATTATGTGCTTTCCCACAATGCTCAGCCTCTGGCCTTTTGATAAACAGCACGACCTGTGGTCTCAAAATTCCGATTTCAATCTCATGTTTCTGTCTGCCAAAAGTGAGATTTACTTTATTTACATATAGGGTATGTTTACTGAATCTTGTGAAGTTAAGATAAACAGTCACCATTAGCCTTGGCTTAATTTGACAGACTTACACAGGGTCATGTTTGAGTGTGTGCATGCATGCGCAGGTGTGCGTGTGTATGTGTTTGTGTGATGACATTTCCATGGAGGGCCGGGGCAAGGTTTATCAATTATAAACATGAGCCGATGGATCCCATTACACTGTGGAGATATGTGTGTTTACTCAGCAGTGTGAAGAGCAAAGGGAGACAGGAGGGAGAGACACACAGATGTATGCAGGCTTATCCCTCTCAGTGGACTAACCACTATCCACATCATTAAATAAGAGAGTGGAAATTGAGGGACTTTTATTAATGGTCATTATTGTCAGCGCTTTAGTTCCCCCCCCACTTCTTCCTGTTTATGTAACAATGAATAAAGGGTTTGGTATCCAAATCTGATTTAAGCAATGTTGTCTTCACAACAAATGGATTGACTGGCAAGAATCAAAGAAGCCTTGAGGCTTAGTTTGAGGCAACATCCTACTCAATCCTTTTCCAAGGAAATGATTGGAATTCCTGGTACTTAACATGCCTAATGAGTTGAACAAGGGAATCACAAAGAGGGAGGTTTTTCTTTCATTCTTCATCCCTTTCTCTTTATTATTTGTATTTTTTCCCATTTTTTTTGTTTTTTAGTATAAATCAATTTCAGGTAATGATAAAAGACGCAGGAATATCAGGTTGGAGCTTACAATGCCCAGAAATGCATTTAATGCATTTAGCGGTTTCTGTTTGTCGTGGTTTTACACCAGTCGGATTGGCCTCCGATAGCTACGCTTGGCAGAAACCTTATCTCTCCCTCGTCACAGTATCTCTTTGCTTCCCCCTTCCATTCTCTGGCCCCCTGATTTTATTAATGCCCTCATCAGGAAGTGGGGCCTAGAGTTTCTCTTTACTAACAAACAAATTAGTCTTTGTATTTGAGTGGCTCCACCCCTCCTCCCGCTCTCTCCGGCTGCTGGAGAAGCTGGAAGAAAATTCTCAATGAAACAAAGAAGACATGCAGCTCGATGGCCCACAAGTGGAGCCCAGGGGCATTGGTGTTGATTGGAGAAAGCAAATACTATTTTCTACTGGAGTAATCGTTTCCGTTCTAAATTTGGAGAAGTGAAACACCCTGACAGGAGCAAATATAGCCCATTCATCCCCATAAACAATGTGGCTTCTATTTTTGGCAGCATCATTTGAACAAAGAACATCAAACATGGCCTTTTTTGTGTCTCCGAGTTAATTTACTCACAAGGAGGTTTTGAGAGTGAATATGATTGAATGTATGGCAAGGAGAGGACATTTGAATTATTTTCCCATTTTAGAAAGACAGTCTGGTGGCGTAGTGTTTATTTTGGGACTAGAAACAGTTTAGCTCTTTGCTTTATCCCTTAACCATGGTTGGTGTTTTGACAAGGATCAAAGACTCGTCGAAAACATCCCTGTTCGTCTCATTGGACAGGCGCTGTGACAGTGTCGCTCACTGTGACGGCATCCTAAGCCTCTGTAAGAACATAACAGGTTTAACCAAGGAGCTCATATGTCAGGGCATTTCCTGTGCTGACCGTTGGACCTCCTTTTAGATAGTTCAAAACAATATTCAACCTGTTAGCTGCAGTATGTGCTGAAGCTGTAATTATTGAAATCATTTATGGTTTCATAAATATTTAACACAGTGCATTGTAAGGGAGTAAGAGAATTTTATCGGTTAGCTTTTAGAGACTTTTTTTCAGCTTTTTACAGTAGAGTAGTTAACTGTAGGCTACCCCAGGTAGTACTTCTGCAGTTGCTTGAAGGTAAAAGGAAATATTGTGGAGTAGCTCAACTAATTAATTTGGAGAAAAAAAAGAAAGAAGTTGATTGATTTAAAAAAGAAAATACACAACAAATTGATTCAGCTGTAACATTGGAACACTATATATATTGCATTTAAGCTCAAATTATTTGATAAATGTTTAAAATAGTTGGCTTAAGGAAATGGCTGAAAGGTTAAAATAGTTTCGTAATAGCACTGGATTAGTTATTGGTTAAAATAGCTAAAAGTAATGGATAAATGGTTAAAATAGCTAAAAGTAATGGATAAATGGTTAAAATAGTTGAAGTTCCCCCTGGGATTATTAAAGTATTTCTGATTCTGATTCTGGTTGAAACCACCTCCCAAGCGCTACAAATGCACACTTGACCAAACTGGCCTAAGCACTGACACAGTTCAGTTGCATAAAATAATACTTTACCGTAATAATATCCATTGTTATATAATTAATAGTGTACAATAACATCCAGTAAAATCAATTCATATAAACACATTTGGAACACGGTGGGTGGTGTCGATAAAGTTAATTGACAAAGCTCATTTGACGGGGCTGTGAACATACATCAGACAGAAAGACAGTGGAACCACTGCGTTGGAGCACAATGAGAATATCATCTACGATTAATTCCCAGGTGTTGTAATTGATAGGCGCGATTAAAGGGAGAGTTGATTGTCATCAATAATAAATGGAGTCTTTGTTGTTAATGTTTTGGCAGTGTGTGTGTGTGTGTGTGTGTGTGGTGTTGGAGAACGCTCCAGGTTTCAAGTGTTTTCCGAGTACAGAGGAATGGCTTATTCAAACTCTGGGGTTATCTGAGGTAACAGACACAACATTTTACAGAGAAATGCGGGCTTTGCATCTGATATGATGGATACAGAAGTTGCATCAACATGTTATCTTGTGAACCCCAATGTGAAAGTAAATAACAATTTCCCTAGTCACCTCCATATTAAAAATCACCTTAGCTGAACCTGACAATTATATCTATGCCTTGTTAAAATAAAAATGCCTGCCGGCAAGAACTCCGAACAAACATTGACTTCTTTGTACAATGTAGAAACATGATGTCCTAGCACCGCACACACTGTCTTTTTCATAGCTCTCTATTATTTGTATGTATGACATGTTGCCAGCAAAGTACCAGCCTTTCCATCTTGACTAACAGGATTATATGCTTCAAGAAGATTATTATAATTAAAATCTTTTGGCAAAAGTAATCTACATGCTAATCTATACATAGCATTGCTGTATGCCCCAGCAAACACTTGTTACATTCATTTCTGATACAAAAGAAAATATGTAGTACTCTCTATTGTACGTGTGTTTTTGATTACATTAATGAAGAAGCATCTTTCGCCTGTCTTCCAGTCTGTGGTCCTAGTATCGACATCCGAAATGAGATCAGTGAGTTCAAGCGGCTGGAGAACTGCACAGTGGTGGAAGGCTACCTACAGATCCTCCTCATCAACGACAAGACCAACAACATCCACCAGGAGCTCTTCCGCTCCCTCAGCTTCCCAAAGCTGACTGTCATCACCGACTACCTGCTGCTGTTTCGCGTCTCGGGCCTGGACAGCCTAAGCATGCTCTTCCCCAACCTGAGTGTCATCCGCGGACGCAATCTCTTCTACAACTACGCCCTGGTGATCTACGAGATGACCAGCCTGAAGGACATCGGCCTGTACAACCTGAGGAACATCACGCGGGGAGCCATGCGGATTGAAAAGAACCCTGAGCTCTGCTACCTGGACTCGGTGGACTGGTCTCTAATTATGGATGCTGAGTTCAACAACATTATCAATGGGAATAAGAAGGTAAAGGAGTGTGACAATGTCTGCCCAGGCATCATGAAGGATAACCCTCTTTGTCAGAGGACGTCGTTCAATGACAACTACGACTACCGCTGTTGGACCTCCAACCAGTGCCAGAAAGGTAACCCTGAATTCTATGTTGTTTTATTTCATACTTTATACTAGAGGATGCATTAAATGTGATGTTTGCCTGATACATTTTAATAGCGGCAGTGTTTGTGCGACATTTGGCAATAGAAGTACAGGAAATGCATATGAGACTTTGATCTAGGTAGGTGGTTTCCAGTCTCTTAAACATTCTGAAATTGTGCATTTTTTCACCAGCGAACAAATCCAGTGAATCTATGCAGTGTTTTTCCTTCATTTCCGTCAGGCTGCAGGATTGTCCACGGGCCAGTGCAAACATTTCCTCTCTGTTCATTATAGAGACCTTGTCTTTAGATCAGGCTATTTGTGGAGTGAAGGATGGCTGCAATATAGAGCACCAGGTATTAGAAAGGCATACTCAGTTGAGGTTAAAGTTGCTCTGCCAAGAAATGAGCTAGTCTACCTGTCTGGACCATGTCAGTTAAATATTTGCCTTAGGGACTTTTTGCAATTTATGAAAAGGGGTATATTGAAGTTTCTGGGGGAGGGTCATCCTTGTTTAACTTCGGCCCCGCGGTAGGGTCATGCATTTTTTAAAACAGTTCAGAGGAGGGTCAGATCATTTATATATTGAAATTTAAATTCATCTTTATCTGCAGGTTTATGTGTATTTGTCGCCTAAGTTTAGTTTTGTGTCTGTAGAAGCTTTTAGTAACATTACATATCGTCACCGCTCTTTTTCTCTCAGATTTCAGAATGAGGGACAGCTTGTGCTTTTTGATTAGAAACTGGGACAACCAGATCAGCTGTCTCATGCCTCTTCAAAACTAGTGTAGGCAGTTCAAGCCTTTGTAACAAACTTACGCAGCCTGTTTGACACAGGCGGATAAAGCTGAGCTGTTGATGAGGCTTCTGGTAGAAATGTTTTGTTGCTTTCTGACATAAATAGTTTTTTTTTTATATCATGTTTCTTACCTGCAGCTGTTTTGATTGAAGATATCAAGCTCCTAGTTGTTTCGTTAGACCATCTATGCTTTATTTTTAACTTTTTCTCCAAGGGCGCAGAGGCCACGGTTATGAATAATTTTTCTGCATCCTCGCTGCTGATAGTTGTGGCAGGAGGCATTATGTTTTTGGGTTTTGCTTCACATTCTTGTCAACGAAATATCTCAGTTATGCTTAGAGGGAATTTCTTGGCAAAAACATCCACTTAAGCTCAAAGATGAACGGATTTGATATTGGTGGTCAAAAGTCAATGGTCAAGATCACTGTGAAATATGTTTTTGGCCATAACTCAAGCATTGAGAATTGCAATTATGAGTTGGCAGTTGAATGCAAGGAAGCAGACCAGAGGGCCATCATCTACCCTGTGGAAGTGGGGGGTGCCAGTGGTTTGTCAGCGCATCAACTTCACGGCTACTCCGCAACATTTAGGACATTTTAGACTTTAGGCTGTGGCTGAGGAGGAAGGATAGGTGTGGGGTACAGAAGGCCAGCTGCAGGGAGTGCGGGGGTAGAGAGAGACAGAGATGCATAAACCAGGGGCCAGGGGCGTAAATATAGACGGTGCAGGCAGTGCAGGCCTTTTGGAGTGGGGGGGCCCATAGGGAGAGTTGGTCCTCCAACAATAGGTGGTGAACAGATCCTTGTGAGTGACTCAGATTACCGCCTGGGAAATACACCTGTGTTTAAAGAAGAACTCACGTTCAAGTAAAAATGCCATTTGCTCTTTAATTTTTCTTGATAAAATAGTCATTAGAAATCTATTACAAAATTATTAATCTTTTTCTACATAAACTATAAAAACTATAAATGAACTATAAACTATTAATTTTTATTCATTTTCTTTGGTACTTTTGGCATATAGAGGTTTGCAATGAGGATTACTGGGTAATATGTATGTTGAGTTTCTATTTGATCATGTGACGAGACAATATGATGTACTGTAAGATAGCTAGAGCCCATCATAATAGTGTGCACTCTGGCCCGTTGTGACTACCTTATACCACTGGCCTGGACGGACATGGATGCAAACTGCAACTTGACTAGTTGGCGGAGGCATACAACTGCGGGGTGGTAATTCTAGTTCAAGGTTGCAGGCAGGGTCACATACATTATTCTTCAAATACAAAAGGGCTATTGATGCTTTTTTAGTTCAAATTCCTTTACAGACTGCACTTAAAACACACAAAATACCCCATCTCAACAGTTCAAACAGTAGTCACAAAACATTACAAAAGGCTTTTAACACACATTTCAATGCAAAAACCCTTTAATTCACTTTAATTAACGCTTTAATTTAATTACGTGTCAACAACATGACAAAAAAGTGCCAAAACTAAACATTGTAGATGTTATTGGTTTATGTGCAGATATTGGGCCTGAAAGGCCTTTTAGACACTGATAAAAATATATAATATAATGACCTATTTCTTGTTGCTGCTTTGCTTTAGCAGATACAGATGTTGTTTATTTGCAGTTGAGAGGGTGATATCAATGCCGAAGCTTTGGCGTTTTGTACCATTTCCCTTTATTTGTTTATGTTGCATAGACTATTACCACACTTGAGAGAAAGACTGGCCTCTTTAATTTGCCTCCATCTGGATTCTGAATATCCATACTGTACAATAACTCAGTGCAGTAAATAAAAGATAAACAGATACATGTTTTGTCTTGGTGAAAATGATCATGTCAGACCTGACTTGATTTGATTTGGCATAGAAAACTTGTTTCAGACTCCTGATCTTTGCCTCTCGTCTGTGTGAAATAATGGTGGGAAAATGTTCCTCCAGCCCTGTTCTATTGAAGACCTGTGTACGGCTCCCATGGTCAGTTGGGAGTCTCAAACACGACCCTCCTTCATCCCCCGGGGACCCTCAGAACAAATAGTGGAAATCAAGCTTGCGTCTTTTCCCTAGTGACCATGTCTGTCTCTATAGAAAAGCTATGGTGTTTATTGTTATGTCTCTGTTTATTCTTGGATGCACTGCCCTGCCAGTGATTGTGTGTGCCATATACAATTGGCTATGCGAATTAAAAAACTAATATCTTTGTTTAAAACAAAACAAAAGTTTCCTAAATTTGCTAATTTATTTCATTTACTAAATGCTACATTGTGAAAGGTGCAGTCGCCTGCGATGACCTTCGATGCACGTCTGTTCCTCCCAGAGTAGATTCTATGTAGCGTTTGCGGTGGGACCCTCTGTTGTTCTCCCATAACGGACTGGAGAGGCAGAGGAGGATTATTGTTTGAACCAGTTCCCTTTTCTCTGAGGCCCAGGCCGAGGTCAGGGTAAATGCATTCATCTGGAGGGCCTTGAGGTCTCAAGGCTGCAGATAAAGGCTCTGGTGGGGGGGCTACGCAGTGGAAAAAAAGGAGGAGTTACTGAAGCAATAATAGGACAGAATGATTCCTGTGAAGTCTGTGAGGTCTGTTTATATTCCAGGCTTCATGCACAGGTAACATTTCTCACACTGTCTTACTTTTTTTTTTTTTTTAAGGCTTGATGTGTCTTCCTCTCTTGTTCCTGCTTAAGATTCCTCTCTCCTCCCTCCACCCCTCTGCATAATTGCCTTGTTTTTCTCCAGTACAGATGTTCCTTCAAGGGCATTCAGTGGTTTTCTAGTCAATACGGCCCGGTCTCCTCTTTAATTACACTACATGAGGAGGGAGGGCGGTCTGCCTAGCACACTACTTTAGCCTCTGGGCCTTCTAGTGCTTCCTGGAGCAACAACAAAACTCCTCTTTCCACATGTTTGTCCACCTACCAGATACTATTTCCCACAACAGATTGGAGTGTTTTAGATGAGAGTCTCCTCAGAGGTTAATGTAAATATGATGCTGGACAGAATAAGCCAGGTTAATGCCGTACTTTTGGCTGGATGGAAGTGAGTGGGAGTGACCGCGTAGGGAAGTGCAGATTGGAGCAGAGGTTCTGGGTGCTTTTCAGTGGCAGGCAGCGATGCGTAGAGAGGCCCTGACTGAGGAGCCGTACGCAGGAGGAGGGGCACTGAGGGGAAATGTCAGACAAATGTCAAGTATACAAGCTCAACGGCAGGCTCTCGCTAAAGCGCAGTGCTTGGAGGGTTGAAAAATGCCCGTCATTCCCCTTTGCTTTTCGTCCCCTCGGCCTGCTCCTCCTCATCATACACACTGTCTGTCCATTTCTTCCTCCCTAGTTTTCTCCACTTTGCTTAGCCTCAGCCTGGAACTCATCTCTGATTGTCCTTGTCAGTTTGTCTGGTGGTGTTTCCTCCTCTATTTTCACCTCACTCTTTTCTGCAGGGCTTATCGGGGGCTGTTAACAGCTCTGGCTGTCAGATATCCCTCCACTGTTTACTTGTGGGAGACATTCTCTCATCGCTGCAGTGGTAACAGCCAACTGGCCTGTTTGGCCGGGCCCTGGATCCTTTGACATCGCCCGCTGTTTGCTTTGAATTTTGGGGGATCCCGTGACTAAAAAGTGTCTGGCCTGCTTCAAATAGCCTTCTCAGGTCTCTGCAGGTCTTTGCTACAGTCAGGCCTGCCTTCTGCCCCTGGACCTGAGCCAAAGCCTGATAGCGAAGAGGCTTTTAAAATTAGGCAGACAAGCAGGAAAGCATGCCGATGTGTCCATGCCCAGTCTCAGGGCAGGTTAGTCTTCATAGCTCCACAGGGAGGCACACACTCTCACACTTGCTAGTCCTCACATAGCTCACATGTCTCCTTTATGTGAGAATATTAACTTCCAGTATGCTCAGCCTCGCGGGCACTCTGGTCTAGTTTCTCTTGGCTCCTTATGCTGTTTGATTTTAAGAAACATCATGTCCTGAATGTTGTATTTTGATATTGATAGACAAATGTCAAAAGTCAGGTCTGCCTGTGAATGGCAAATAAATCAAAATGTCCACATACTGAAACTGCTTTTGCTTTTTGAGAAAGGAAAACTGTGGTGTGGTGTCAGTTTGCATTTTAGGGTCTGAGCTATAGTCGTGTAAGGAGACCTGCTGTCCTGTTATGCCACAGACAGTTTTCTGCTCTGTGTGTCCTTGTAC